CCCTCCTTCACATTGCTCTGCTGGTCCTCTTTGTAATCATCATCTACGCCATCATCGGCCTGGAGCTCTTCATCGGAAAGATGCACGCCACATGCTTCGTCATAAAATCAGGTAAGCTGGTCTTTATTTCATAGCTTCTATCTTTCTTTCACACGAAACAGACATATTGTGGATCTGAGATTACCACAGGTACAGGATTTAATCCCTGGGAATGAATGGAATAATGCACCTTGTATGTGAATGGTGACAAGCAGCTGAGAACAGGACACAGCAGCAGACGGTGGATTAAATCCTGTGATTAAATGACAAATATCTAGCTATTATGTAAACAAGCCCACTCTTTGACTTAATGTCGCTTACAAAATCGCACAATCATTCAAGAAATGTACTCATGTTTAAAGATAAATAAGTGTAAATGTAAAAAAAATAAAAGCAGAGTAGGAGAGATTCTTGCTGTTGGAAAGTCGAAATAAGTATCTGGGCATCTGTGTGATCTATTTAATTTCACTGGGAGTGGAACCAGAAAACATTCTCATGAAGTTATTGCATCAGTTGTTAAAAAATGAAAATATTAACTGACCAGGCTTTTCAGATTGAACAATATGTCTGCTTTTGGAGGACAGAGTTGTATTTTATCCTAATTTAATCATTTTAATCATTAAGACACATGCAGTGCAATAATGTAAGCTGAACATGAAAAAAATGGCTGAGATTTGGAGTTTTTTTATGCTGATTGCATTTCTCTCTGTGTTAAACTCCAATCATGTGCTGTAAAGGTCGTGACATGAAACCGTTTTGGCTTGTCTTTAGCGTTTGGTGTGTTTGTGTTCTCGCCTCCAGGAGCTCTGGCAGAGGAGGAGCCCGCGCCGTGCGCTGTCTCAGGGCACGGCCGCCGCTGCCTGGTCAACGGCACCATTTGCAGAGAGGGCTGGCAAGGCCCCAACAACGGCATCACCAACTTTGACAACTTCCTGTTTGCCATGCTCACCGTTTTCCAGTGTATCACCATGGAAGGCTGGACCGACGTTCTCTACTGGGTAATCAAATGCTACAAAAATGACCCAGAAGCCTGAATCTGCCACCGATTTCTGACTTTTTGTTTCAAGCGTGATCACAATATTTGTTCTGACATGCAGCTGAAGCCTTTGCGATATAAAATCTCATTAAGCAGCATCACAAGGGTCACACATGACAAGGATTCCTTTCAGAGCTGCAGCCTGGACAGTGGCTTTCCTTTGAATAAACAAGTGTCATCGATTTAAAAAGCTTGAAAACTCTTGGCTTCTCATTAGCAAAAACCAGCAAGGGCTTTTAATTAGCCAAAACACTTACGAGCTTTATCTCAGTCCTCCCACTCATTTACCAACGGTGACCCTCATCTGTGAAATAATGAACTTCTCCCTCTTTCTCTTCCTCTGCTGTCTTCCTGAAGTCCTTTTTTCTTCCTCTCCACATATTTTACGCTGTGTTGCCATGGCAATTTCATCTCAGTGTTGGTGTTGTGTTGCTGGAGAGAAGAAGGTCTGACAAACCCAAAACAATAAAGAATTGATTTACGGATAGATGGTCATTTATGTTACATGTGCCATACGACCTGTTCTAGTTGAATTGGCCAACTTTAGCAGTTCGTGCCTGGTGGGCGGGTATGTGGCACTTTGTGAGTGAAGCTGAAATCCAATTGATCCACATCTATAAAAAACAGAAAACAGAAAAGAAGCCAATTTTCTGTGTATTGAGGAGCAACGATGCACTGATCAGAAATCATTTCCTGTGCCATACTTTGTAAAGCTCTGACCTGCTGATTCCACTTTCTGATTTTTCTTTTAGAAATATAAATCACAAACCATTTTTTTAACTACAACTTGCATGAATTAAAAATACATATTTTGTAGTGTAAAATAAAGCAATAGCTTTGTAAGTAAAGACTTTATGGTTAGCAGATGGGTTCTTGAAGCAGTTTACTGAGTTATGAAGACCAAAGCATATCTAAATTAAATCAGATTTTATTTCACCTCATGTTTATGCCTGAGAGAAAAGAGTCATAGATCACTAATTAAAAGTTCCTAATCTTTTTGATCAATTTGAAAAAGTACATTTTGATTTTAAAAAAAGCTGCATTTCTTCTCATTAGGGTTGCCAGTAAGTTTTCTTCAAAAATGTAAAATAACAAAAAAATAACTGTTGATTATTTCCTGATATGCATTTTTTTTCCCAATATTAATCAAACTAAAGGTTGGATTTTTACTAAAATGTATTAGAGTGACATGTTATTACTTCAATATAATATAAATAGCTTTATTTATATTTTGTATTTATCTTTTGCGTAATTTTTAAAGAATCTTTGATGTCCCATTACATTTTTGATCACTGCTTCATTTTTGTACAAATCAGTATTTTTACTTACATGTATTTAATATTTATACATAATTTTTTTTTTTTATCTCAAGTAAATACTTAGGCAAATATTTTCATAAGTGAGCAGAGATTGATTAAACATTTTCCAATGCAGATGAATGATGCGATGGGCTTTGAGCTGCCGTGGGTCTACTTTGTCAGTCTGGTCATCTTTGGATCGTTCTTTGTTCTGAACCTGGTCCTGGGAGTGTTGAGTGGGTACGTTTACATTTTTACTTGCCACTAAAAAAGTGAAAACAAACCCGAAAACCTTCCTTAATCTTAATCAGGCAATTGAGTCGTCTCTTTTGGTCCTTGCAGAGAGTTTTCCAAAGAGCGTGAAAAGGCCAAAGCTCGCGGCGACTTCCAGAAGCTGCGCGAGAAGCAGCAGCTGGAGGAGGACCTTAAAGGCTACCTGGACTGGATCACACAAGCCGAGGACATCGACCCCGAGAACGAGGAGGAGGGGGACGAGGAGGGCAAGCGCAATCGTGAGTCACCCGGATCTTTTTGATTGCTGTTTGCGCCGTGTAGTACAGCAGAGGGACCCGCCCAGGACTGTGGCATGATTTTCTTCTGCAGTCTTTCAAAGTCACTGAATGCTTGTGAAGTTTCACCATCAATTCACCACTCAACAAACGCATGTTAAGTTTGAATTGGAGGATTCAAAAATATGTCTAAGTTTGGATGATCTCACGTTTCTAATTTTTTCCATGGCTTTTTTTTTTTTTTTGTGGACATCTGAAAGACAGATGAAGGAAGAGCCCTGTTATATAATCAGTAATCATGCAGTTACATAATAAACTTGAGATGGTGCAGGAACCATCATTTTTTTTTCTGCAAAAAAATCATACAAATCTCATCTTCTGTGCACTGATGGCTCTGCCGCGCCTTGCAGTCAGTTCACATGCACCTGTCAGTGTTCATGTTCTCCAGTATCTGCACTGCTTTTACCATTGCTGCTGCTGCTGCTGCTGCTGTTGTTGTTGTTGTTTACAGAGATAACACACTAACGTTCTCTCCTTGATTCCTGCAGTGTGGGTGTCCGTGTGCGTGTGTGTCTTGCAGGGGCGCCATATATTGGGGAAAAAGTTCTGACAATTCTAAGGCCCAAAGGGGCCCACCGCAATTTATTTATTTATTCATTTATTTATTTATCCATTTATTTATTTATGTTTGTCATGGGGCCCAAGATTCCTGGCGGCGCCCCTGTTGTCTTGTAGATACTGCCTGTAGAATGCCACTAACATCAGATGTTCCCTCTTTTCCTCTCCTCTTCCTCCCATATGTTGCCACATCTTTCTTATTTTTAACAACTGTTTACTTCTCACGTTCTCACTTAAGTTTGTTTACAGCTAATCATCCTCAGTTTTAGAATGTCGTATGTGGTTATTGTGTCCAGAAATCATGAGCGGAGAGATCTGACTAGTCAGGTTTATTGATTTTCATTATAGCTAATACTGTTTGATAACTAATCATTTCATAAATAACAACCCTTGAATCAATTACTGGTGAAGGAATGCCATTATTTTTTCTTATTATACTCCACAGTATGGACAGATTTAAATCATCAATATTTTTTTCTGTAGTTTATCAGTGATTTTCTGGATACTGTAGCTGCATCAGTAGTTTGTTCTGAAGTTGCCTGTAGCTGTTCATTCTTCTCTCTTGTTCTGCTTTGTGTTGACTCACTGCTTCCTCTGCTGTCTGGCTATGTGAACTGCATGTTGATAACACCAAGGGGTCACGCTGGCTGACCTCACTGAGAAGAAGAAAGGAAAGTTTGGCTGGTTCTCTCAGTCCACAGAGACACAGGGTAAATGTATTTGTGTGCACCTGAGCGCGGGAGCATCAGGAAGACTTCATCTGTCCCCTGTGCGTGTTCATGAGGACATTTCACCTTCGTCCTGAAGAATGTCTTTGCATTGATGGGCTTGGTTTGCTGGATCCTTTGTGCACTTTGTTTCTTGATGCTGTTTTATTGTGCATGGTCCCTATCATCACCATCCTCATCTGTATTATTATCTATAATCATTTTCTTTAATGCTGAAGTCATATTGTAGTGTAAGAAGGACATGTTTTAAGCAAAAAAAGCAAAAAAATAAATTAAATAGGTTCAGCAGTTATAAGTAACTGCAAATATAAATATTTGAAACAGAACAGTTTCCTCCAATTATGTCCTGGCTAATGAGGATTAAATGCAGAACTTCCTTATCTCAGCTGCATTTTCCCTGTTTTAAAGGGTTTCTAGGAGAAAATGTGCCACCTAGTGGTGATTTTGTCCAAAACAAAACAAAATTTAGCATGAGATTTGTCTATGTGGGTATAAAAGTATCTTTGGAATGTTGCCCCAAGATTTTACTTAGCAAATTATATTTTACTTGGATTGAATCAGAAGTGTTGGTGTAAAGGTTGCCCATCATTCATTATCAAACATGTTCATTATTCATCAGTAAGGTTGTTTTTTCTGCATGCATGAATCGTTCCATTTTCAGTATTTTATAAATGTTTTGATCCCATGTCTATTAAAACCAACACTTACTGCAGTGCAGAGACCATATATCACAATATAGAACTATAGTAAAGCATTACGTTTCAACATTGCATTTAGACATTCAGATGTTTGGATTACAGCTAATGAGCTTATTTCACCCTGATGCATTTGTTATGACTTTTTCCATGCAGAAAAGTTAAACAATAACCTTTCTACTCTAATGCAATTCCAGGGAATCAGAGCTCAGCCTAATTTGTGGAAAACTGATGTACAGTATCTGGCTTTGAAAATCTGCTAATCTGATTTGATAATAATCTATAGTAATTGATAACAGTCAGCATATTCTGTTCTAGGCTAGATACATTTGTCCTCCCTGTTAACTTTGTGAAGACGTCACACAGATAGTTTAGCTTTTTTCCTCCCTTTTCTTTCAAATAATTTACGGCCATCAGAGATACCACAATACCACACGCAAACTGCAGAGAAGATGCAAGAGAGAAACTTGCAACATAAAAGAAATTGGTGCTTCTCAGTTTTTTTGCTTCTAATGTTTCATTTGATGTTGGTTTTCTGAAAAGTCATGGATCTGAAAAAACGTACATCTTTTATTAGCCTATTGCTCAGCTAAACCACAAAGAAATTAATGCCAAAAAGAAAAACGCTTTATTAAAAAATAATAATAAAATGCTGATGAAATAAAATTGTAAGTCATGTAAAATTTGTAAGCTTTTTCATGCAATTCTTTTTCTTTTTTTTTTTACATTTGCATGTGTGTGTGTGACTCTGCAGCCAGCATGCCCACGAGTGAGACAGAGTCGGCGACCACAGACAACCACAATGGAGAAGAGGACAAATTTTTGTGCTGTGGACCGCTGTGGTGAGTTTGACACATCACACCACAAATCAGTTATGCAAAAGGTTTTTCATCGAGCAGCTCACGGCTGACGCAGAAGTTTCCCTTTAGAGGGAAAATGGTCACCAACGCAGTCGGAAATCAGATCACGTTGACATAAGCTGAAGATTTCACCACCGAGTTCATGCTTTAGAGATTTACAGTGCTGTCTTGTCTTCTATTTCCACCAGTCAGAAAATAACTAAATCAAAGTGCAGGTTAGTACTATGCTGTGGTGCTGCATGGTGCTCTCCTTCTCATCGTGCATGATCAATTCTGGTCACGTATTTGAATCATTCTGACCCCTGCTGTAATCATCCATGCGTTTCTTTCCCTGACGGCTCACCAGCAATTCAACACTGATCCATGTTGACCAAAAATCCAGCCGTCTGCTCCTGATCGGTTTTGATCCTCTCGTATTTGCCGTGATATAATTCCTTGACCTCAACAACAAATGATCCTTTTGCATGTTGGGTAGATCGTAACGTTTCCCTTTAGATTTTCCAAGCTGACGGAGAAAATATCTCAAACTGATCCTCTGTCAGTCGGCAGTGGCGACGGTGGAACCGCTTCTGCCGCAGGAAGTGCAGGGCGGCCGTGAAATCCGTGACGTTTTATTGGCTCGTCATCATCCTGGTGTTCCTCAACACCCTCACCATCGCGTCAGAGCACTACAACCAGCCCGAATGGCTAACAGAAGTACAAGGTGTCTGTTTTACTTTTTACATTCTGTTTGCTTTACTTTTACCAAGTTGAAATTCAATATACTACAGCCGTTATATTTCTACAAAAAGCATTCCTCTGTTTTTCTCTCTTTCTGCTCCAGAAGTGGCCAATAAGGTTCTTTTGGCTTTGTTCACTCTGGAGATGCTTGTGAAGATGTACAGTTTGGGGCTCCAGGCCTACTTCGTGTCGCTGTTCAACCGCTTTGATTGTTTTGTGGTGTGTGGAGGAATCGTGGAGACCATCCTGGTGGAGCTGGCCATCATGTCTCCACTGGGGATCTCGGTTTTGCGCTGCGTACGGCTCCTCAGGATCTTCAAAGTTACGCGGTAAGCATATTTCACGCTAATATTTGTTCATGTCATGAAGGCTAAAGACCGCTGCACAAATAAAAGCAGAAATAAAAAAACTCAAAATGGCATATAAATTTATTTCTCTCTATAAGAAAAGTAATAGAGAAAGGAAAAAGGGGAAAAAGAAAGCAGGAGAGTTAAATTCTGTCTCTGTCTTCTTCAGTCACTGGGCGTCTCTGAGTAACCTGGTGGCCTCTCTGCTCAACTCCATGAAGTCCATCGCCTCCCTGCTGCTGCTGCTCTTCCTCTTCATCATTATTTTCTCCCTGCTGGGCATGCAACTCTTCGGGGGAAAATTCAACTTTGATGAGACGGTGACCAAAAGAAGCACATTTGATAATTTCCCCCAGGCCCTCCTCACTGTGTTTCAGGTTTGTGTTTGCGAGAATCAGAGACGAACCGAGGGTTTTATCACATATCAAGCATATCATATTCCAGTCTGACATTCGTTTTCAATATCTGGGATTAATTACTGCGATTAATGCGGTTCGACCAGAATCAGGTGCTTCGGTGTTATTCTCCTAATATTTTTCACCAGATCCTGACAGGCGAGGACTGGAACACCGTGATGTATGACGGCATCATGGCGTACGGTGGTCCGGCGTCCTCTGGCATGGTGGTCTGCATTTACTTCATCATCCTCTTCATCTGTGGAAACTGTATCCTACTCAATGCAATCACACAATCACTCACATCGCCGAGAGAGTGCCTTGAAACACGAGTTACACCCGCTAAGGTTTTTGAGTTTGAACATGAACACAAATTGTTTTAAATTAGGACTTTCTGTGACAGACCAACACAAAGTAAAGAGTAACTGTAAAGTGGAAGGAAAGTGACGAATGATTGTTGAATTCGTTACAAATACAAATCTAAGTGTGTTTTTATATTCGGTCACAGACATTTAGATGAAATTACAACTTTACCAAATTGAAAACAGCTCATTTAACTGAACTGATCTATTTCCGTGAAGCCTGTGGAGATTTTTAGTCGACGTTTTTAAAATGTTGGTAAGTGTTTTTGTTTTTTCTGTAACGCTCGATCAGACATCCTGCTGAATGTGTTCTTGGCCATCGCTGTTGATAACCTGGCTGACGCGGAGAGCCTCAACACGGCACAGAAAGAGGAAGAAGAGGCCAAAAAGAGAAAGAATAGTGCTAAGTATGGTTCAACAAGCTTTCATTTGACAGTTTTAAAAAAAAAAATTCCATCTGCAAAAAGAAAGAAAAAATACATTGGAGGTTTTAAACTTTATTCATTGCCAACAGGGACTCAAACACAGAGAAGAAGAGGATTGAAATAACAGAAGACGGGAAAACAACGGTAAAAAGCAAATTAGCTGGAGCTCTTACATAAATTAGATAATCCCAGCACTACTCTGTTAATGTTAGATATTTTTCTTTTTTGTATGAAGTAATCTGTAAAAAATTTTTTTGCTAAACATCTTCTAGATGCCAACGGAGGCCTTGCTAGAGGGGGACAAAGAATCGTACACCACCGTCGACTCACCAGGTGAAGAAGCTTGTTTAGCAGATGAGGCTTAGCTGGTTTGAGTTTAACAATATATGGGAATAATGTTTAAACCACAAATCTCTGTCCTTTTTATTTTTCAGAAAGAACCATTTTGAAATGTCACTTTAATCAAGTTTAAGCAGAATTGAATTTATAGTTTTTAATGTACTGTCAAAGGAGTTATCCACTGGTATCACCTAAACATGTAACTGATATTATACCTTTTTGACAAAATGCACCAGGAAATATAAGATAAAGGAAGAAGAAACTGAGAAAACATAGAATGAAATAATTGTGAGGAAATGAAATGAAATGAATAAAAACAAATAATGCACATAAAATGGAAAACATAATTAAATTAAAAAAAAAAGCAGCAGGAAATGTAAAAATAAAGGGAAATAGATGCAGATTTTCTTTTCTTTTTACAGAGTTTGTCAGAAATACAATCAATATAGCAAAGAAATAAATAATATTTACTTTTGTGATTAAACATGTTTATATTTTTTTATTTAGGCAGTTCTATTATGGTGCAAGCAATAAACATCATTATGATACTGAGCTGCTGTTGTACAGGTGATGAAGATGATGATCATGGGAACCTCCCTGAAGCCCCGCCGGGCCCCCGGATCCAGCGACTCTCTGAACTCACCATGAAGGAGAAGACGCCACCCATCCCGGAGGGCAGTGCGTTTTTCATCTTCAGCAGCACCAACTCGTGAGTTGGAGTCAGAACAGGCACTTTCTCTGTTCAAAAAACAAAAAAAATCTGAAATCTTTAGGTGCAACAGAGAAAAAGGAAACCTAAAATGTAGCAGTCTGATATTTTCTGTCTGCTCTGTTTCTGCAGGTTTCGTGTGCTCTGCCATAAGCTCATCAACCATCAGATCTTCACCAACCTGATCCTGGTCTTCATCATGCTCAGCTCCGTTTCCCTGGCGGCCGAGGACCCCATCCGCAACTTCTCCGCTCGCAACATTGTACGTAAAGCCACATCGACCTGTGTGAGGGAAGCTTCACATGCTAACTGTAGCTAATGAAGAGTCTTTTCCACAGAGGACTTTACCACACGCCAGGAGAAACACAGCCGGGTTGAGCCTCGTCTTTAGACTGTTGTTCATTACATTGACATGAATGTTTCATTTGAGAGGCAAAAGTATGTTATATATTCTCAAAACAACATACATGGCCAGATTGCTCGTCTCTTTTATGTCTAAATATTTAATAATACATTTTCCCCTCAAAATGCTTTCTTCCTTATTAAAGGAAGTCACTTCTGAATTTCAACCAGTGGTGTGATGATGGGTTTTTGTATTTCTCTGAACCGCAGCAAGTTGCACTTGGTGATCCTGAATGTGGGATGATCCCAATGATAACTGGAACCTTCAGGAAAATATGATCAGTTTTAAATATTATCAGAATATCCTAGGACTACAATCATTAGTTAGCTGTTAAATATCCACAGTCATGCATTCACACTTTGCCCGGCAAAGTTACTCATTGAGTAGACTTTTTTCTGCACTTGATTACATTTGATGCAGAATGAAAAGATATCTCATTGCAATAGAGCAGCAGTAACTAGGTGGTAAATATCATCACCACATGCTAGTGCAGCACGGATAATGCAAAGTTTCTGATTGGAACCTGACAAACCCCAAAATCGCAGATGTTTTTATTTTCTAAAAAGGGGTGAAAAATGTAACTATAACGAAATAGTTGTATAGTGTAAAAGCTTTGATAGACATAGTGGCTTTTAAACCCTTAAAAATAAGAATTTAATTTGATCCTAAAAATGAGAGGAAGCCAGAATGGGGAAGCCTGTGAGGTGTGATTGGACCTGACAGGTATTATTAGCCGATTCCACCAGGATGGACGGTCCGAGGAGACGTCAGGTCTCAGATTTGGTGGTTTGTGACAGGAACACGTCATAAATAACATTGGGGTTTTTGTGCTGTGCATTGGAGAAAGTTAATCTGTCTCTCCTGAAATCACTGCACAGACCTTTCCTCCCAGCAGTGATTCCAGACAGGAACTAAAATCAAGCCTCTATCTCCACACTTCATCCTCTCCACTATGACTGTTGAAGTGACTGATCATAAAAACAGCTTCCACCTTCAGATGTTACCCAGTTCAGCTTCACTATTTGGAGATTTGCTTCTGTTTTGTATGTCTGAACAACATTATCTTGCAGCAACAAGTGTTTAATAGACCACTTTATGTGTTGACCTGCAATGACTTGAACTTGTGCATTGCTTTTGCAGATACTTGGTTATTTTGACTATGCTTTCACCGCAATCTTACTGTTGAGATCCTGTTGAAGGTAAATGTCCTGTGTGTGCTGTGCTGTGCTGTGTTGGGTAGAGCTTCAGTAACCCTGCGTGCTTATGTCACTCTGATTGCCTTCTCAGATCCTAGGCTATGCAGACTATGTCTTCACTAGTATGTTTACATTTGAGATCATTATTAAGGTAAACAACGGCGACTGTCGTGGCGCCTCAACATCACCTCTCAGCTTGCTGCAAATGTCCTTCCTCTCGTCGTTTTTTTATTTTTAATGTTAGGAAAGTAATGGCCGCCTGCTCGTTGTGTTGTCCCAACACTACAATACGGAAATTTTGTGTTTTACGTCGTTTTTTTTTTTACTCTCCTTGTCTGTCAAAAACACGTTTTGCTTCATGGACAACGTTTTCTAACCATCTCTAGCCACAGTGTTGTCCATAATTATCACAGAGTTTTCACGTTTAAAAAAAAAAACTAACAAAAAATAGAAATTTAGTAGTTTCACATTTTTCTATTTAAAAAAAAAAAAACTTTTTGTAACGAAGCACTGACTTGCTTTAACGCCTGATTAAATATTAGTCAGTGTTTTTTTTTCTTTTTCTAGCTTTTTTCCCAGATAATAAAAATAATGATTCAACATTCAGAAATAATCGACGGTAATCACAGTCACTGTTCAGTTCTTCCCCCGTCTCGTTTCTCGCTGCATGTCAGGTAACTCTGCTTGCTAGATTAGATTAATCGCCCATACCAAGATATGTGTGTTGCATTGTTAGGATTAATCTGCTCTCCTTGTCATGTGTCAATATTTTGCATTGTTTGTAGCTCACATGTGTCTGTCACTGTGTGTGTGTGCAGAACTGCACATGCATGCATATCTGTATGTTTTCAATTTAAATGCATTTGTTTAGCAAAGTGGATAAAGCATGGACCAGAATGACATTTTCACTGTATGTTAAACTTGTTCAGAAATTTCTAGGCTTCACAGTATTTACACAAAAGTGTGAAAAAAGTACAGCATGACTTGACTACTTTATGGGAAAAAATGCTGCTACAAAAACAATGACATAACAGATAATACAGGGGTTGCAACAACACTGTGCTGTGTTCACTCTATGCTTCAACAAAGCTTTTGAACTTTAGTTGGCTTCTTGTTAAAACTTTCCCTAAAAACAACTTAAAAACTAGATTGCAGTACTGGTTTCAAAACCATAACTTTTTATAAACTTGCTATATAAAATATATTGCTATATTGCTGCAATTGGTCCAGGATTGATTATAAATTTGTAAAAATCAACAATACATTCATTCAGATTATACTAAATACCATGAGTGGTATCACTTACTCAGTTTCACATTCAGTTTTGAATAAACCTAACAAAAGAATTGTGGAATATACTGAATGTGCTTGAAAAATAAGATTATGTAACCGGAGGAAAGGGAGGATGAGTAGCACCACACAGCACAGTGATTGACAGCGCTAAGACCTGCTTCCCGGCTCTGATTGGTCATTTTTAGTTTGCACTGGGAGCAAAGGGAGCTGAATTATCTGTCTCAAACCATACTGTCAATACATAGTAACAGTGTCAAGAAATATGTAAAAAACTTATTATTTATAAAAGTTACATAACACAGCTTTATCCAACCGCATATAAAATATGTAAGAATAATAAAAAAACAAAATCTACTGTTTCTTAAGTTTAAAAATTAGCCCAGGTCAAGCTGTTGTTTTCTCTGCTTTGTGTTTGTGTCTCTGTGTGTAAATTTTGGTGTAATATTTCTCTCGTCTTTGTTCAGATGACGGCATTTGGAGCGTTCCTGCATAAAGGAGCATTCTGCAGGAACTATTTCAACCTATTAGACCTGTGGTCGTCGGCGTGTCTCTCGTCTCCTTTGGCATTCAGTATGTATCCTCCCATCTCGCTGCATAAATGATTTGTCTTTCTTGGTGAAAATCACATTTTTGCCTGGTAGATATTTCTTGAAGTTGAACACGAACGTGTCTTCTCTCCTGTTGGTCCTGAAAATCAGAATAGATTATGACAAGGTCACTTGATTTGCAGAGTAGGTTTCAGAAGATCTCAACTTGTATTGTTTGTACCGCCCCCTGCAGGTCTTCTGCGATCTCAGTGGTGAAGATCCTCCGTGTTTTGCGGGTCCTCCGTCCGCTCAGGGCCATCAACAGAGCCAAAGGACTGAAAGTAAAAACAGACACTCAGTGAGGCCTGACGCCTGTGTGTTTCTCCCCATGAGTGTGTCTGGTTCTCCCTGTGTTCTTGTGATTGCCTGTGGCTCTGTTTCTGGTGCAGCTGTGTATTTGAACTGACAGTTCATAACTTGGTTCCTCTGCAGCACGTGGTGCAGTGTGTATTTGTGGCCATCAGAACCATCGGCAACATCATGATTGTCACCACCCTCCTGCAGTTCATGTTTGCTTGCATCGGAGTGCAGCTCTTCAAGGTACAAGAGCACAAAACCAGGCATGAAATCTGTGCCATAATGTTATTTTAAGTAAGACCCTGTTGTCTCACCTTGTCATTTTTAGGGTAAATTCTACCGGTGCACAGATGATGCAAAGTCCAGCCCAGATGAGTGCAATTAGTTCTTCTCATCTCTTTCTGGGTCACAGCTTCTGACTTCATTTTTGCTTCCAAGGAGCAAGATATGATTTTGCCTTTGGCTTTTTTCCTGCCTAATTGTTAGCATAATAATTTAGTATTTTATTAGAGACAGTCTAAATATGTTTTGTTTGAAAATTGTTTAAAAAAGGGAAAAAAGAAGAAGCTAAAATCGAGGTCTGTCCTGGTCCATTGTCAAGGGAACTTGGCAAAGAGCCGATTTTAAATTGGACCTTTAAATGTCTTATTGTAAAGTCCTTAAATAATACAAGCTGTATCATTTAAGCGTCAGTGTTCCTGAACAACAGAAAATTGTATCATATTATCAGCTGGGCTGATGAATCGTTCAGGTCTTTGCTAAAATTTTATTTGAAAATTATTATGTTTTTGAAGATAACATCGTTTCAGTGCTGTAGTTGTTTTTTAAACTTTACTTTTTCCTTTTTTTTATTGTACTTGTCCTCTGTTTATCTACCCTCACACTTGTCTATGCAGACCTTGGACATGTGGTGACATTCAGCTCAAAGGCAAATACAGGAAATGAATAGACAAGCTGCCAAAAGTTGAAACAAGTTTGACGAAAGACCTTCAGAAAGCTTAAAAACTATCAAAACCATTAAAATATTGTGAGAATATCTTGCTGCCTGGAAGCAAATAATGAAAAACAAGAAGAAGTTTGAAAGATTCGGACAGTGTTGTGCTTGTACATTAAGTGTCTAAAGATGTTTTTTTAAAATAGGGGGACATACATTCTTTACAACAACGGGGACACGGCTCTGCCCATGGTGAGGGAGAGGATCTGGTACAACAGCGACTTCAACTTTGACAACGTCCTCATGGCCATGATGGCCCTGTTCACTGTCTCCACCTTTGAGGGTTGGCCCACGTGAGTATTGGTCCACTGTCAGTTCAAAAACCTGAGCAAAGGGATATTTATGGCTGATGGTGTCTGTGAATGCATGTTTATCTAGTTGTTGCTGAAGATTTTATGTGATTAAAGCAGGTTACGCTCTGTGTTGTAACTGGATCGCGTTTGTCCCCACAGTCTGCTGTACAAGGCCATCGACTCCAACAGGGAGAACTTGGGCCCCATCTACAACTACCGCATCGAGATCTCCATCTTCTTCATCATCTACATCATCATCATCGCCTTCTTCATGATGAACATCTTCGTTGGTTTCGTCATCGTTACCTTCCAGGAACAGGGAGAGAAGGAGTACAAGAACTGCGAGCTGGACAAGAACCAGGTCGGTGGCTGCTGAACAAGATCGGCCTCAGGAATCCGTAGCTCTGTCTAGTTTTCGCTCAGGAGCCTGTTTGTCTCTCTGTTCCTTTGCAACACCCTCAACACCGCTACAGCGCCAGTGTGTGGAGTACGCACTGAAAGCTCGTCCTCTGCGCCGCTACATTCCCAAAAATCCCTACCAGTACAAGTTCTGGTATGTGGTCAACTCCACTGGCTTTGAGTACGTCATGTTTGTCCTGATCATTCTCAACACGCTGTGTCTGGCTATTCAGGTAAGTTCTCCTGGCAGGATTTATCACCCTAATTTAAAACACTTGAATTTATATTGAACTTCTTCACATTTTGTCACATTGCCTCCATGAGAAGTACTGTTTGTTGGGGTTTTATTGTGACCACAAAGTGACACATTATGAACCAAAAAAGGAAAAGTTTCATGATTTGCACAAAGCATATGCATTCTGCCCTGATTATTGTGATTCTCATGAATAAAAATCCAGTGCTGACTTTAGAAGTTTAATCTCCATATAAATGCATTTGTATTCATCATGCATGAGTTCCATTTTCTAGAACCACTTCTTGCTGTAATCAAAGCTGCAAGTCTTTTGGATTATGTCTCTTCCAGCAGCTTTCTATATCTTGAGACAAAAACAAGATCTGGACTTTCACTAAGGCGTTTCAACAGAAGAATATACTTTTCTGTTTTAGGCCGAAAAATAAAAAACATTCTACATTTTGTAAAATTTATAAAAACAAAAAACTTCCTTAAAAATTCAGCGCTTGCGTTTGCATTGATCGGCTTGTGGCTGTAACAGTGTCATATAAATGCCTCTAATGGTCAGCTTGTGTCCCCTCAGCACCATGGCCAGTCTCTTCTGTTTAACTACGCCATGGACATCCTCAACATGGTCTTCACAGGAGTCTTCACAGTGGAGATGATCCTAAAGCTCATTGCCTTCAAACCCAGAGTAAGTGTCTCATCTTGTCCCCTCTGCTTCCTCCTGTTAGAAAACGTTTTATACCCCACCCCCATAGATTGATGTTCAGCCCTCACTTTGCCTTTTCCTCGTACCTTATGCTCCCTCCCCTTGTGCCCTGCCTCTGCCCCGCCCTGCTGGTTGTGTACGTCACCGTATTCAGGGCTATGTCGGGGACGCCTGGAATGTCTTCGATGCTCTAGTGGTGATCGGCAGTGTAGTCGACATCATACTCAGCCAGGTAGAAAGACGTCATGTGCAGCTCTGTCAGTCCCTCTTCCTGCTCCTTCAGATGTTACTGCTTTTCTCCTTTGAATCCTTCCTAAACCTGTCTCCTTTTTCCTGTCCTTTCCTTCCTGTCCTATCTTTGTGTGGGCCAGTATGTAAACATAAAGGCTTTTTGTGTGTCAATCTTTAACCGCATGTGAAAATTCAGTGTGTTCCCGACAGTGATTGTCGGTCACTGTAAAAAGCTGCAATTACAGTGACGGAAATCATACTTATGAAACCAAAAATGTTTTTGCTTTATTCTCGTTTTGTTCTTTTAGCTTCAGCAGTCATATAAACAGACAAAAAAAGGATTTATGACAATAATTGGAGAACTACTGCTGAACTTTAAAGGCATGTGCTCCCACAAACTCTGACAGGACGACTCTGACTGTCATCCTGTCTTACTGAAGCTCAACTTTTTGATGTACTTTCTATCTGTCAAACGTCTCTCCTTTCTTACCTTTTCTTCCTACCTGCTTTTTGTCTCTGTCTATCCTCTTTTCTGTGTGTCTCTGTTGCTTGTGCTTGCAGAACTATTTTGCTGATGCATGGAACACGTTTGATGCCTTAATTGTTGTGGGTAGCGTGGTTGACATTGCCATCACTGAGATCAATGTAAGTAATCATCTCTCACACGTCTTTACCGTGTCGTTCCCTGCAGGAGCGCCTTGTTTTAGCATCAAAGATGCATCCAAGAACACAACCTTCTTCTTGTTTTTATTGGATTTTCACAACGTTAGCAGCAGATTTTACACACATACGCATAGATATCCACTCCAGTTGTTTGTTTTAAAAAAAAGAGAGGCGATGATAAGTCGTTGACGCATCTGTTCAAACTCCATGTTGTTGTTCTTTTGAACAATTGTCTTTGAATGCAGCTGCACTCAACTGTCTTACTTGCTATCAGCATTTATGTTTGCATTCCCTTCAAAAAGCAACAATGTTCAGCGCTGCTGCTGCTGCTGCTGCAAGGTCGCTCCATGTCCTGGTTTGTGACTCATGTTAGCGCTGGTTTCATGCTTCTTTCCAGCTTCTTTCCAACTTGTTCGCAGCTAAATGTTGGTTCATCCTGAGTGAGTGGTCGGGGGGAATAAACACACTGCAGACAATTTTTACACAATTTTTAGTGTAGAAAAATAAATTCTACAGAAAGAATTGTGAATGTTTCACGAGAGCATGCCTGCATTTCATGACACATAGTTAGTTATTGACCAAAAGCCGGGACATAATTTGGGTCTTGTTTTACGTTTTTCACCTCATGAAATGTTTTTACTCATAAGTTGTGATATGCATGTGTTTTCTGTAATCCGCTGCCTTGTAAAGGTTGCTGACACCTCATTAACGTTTTCACCTTTTGTCACATTACAACCTCAGACTTTTCAATAGGATTTAATAGAATCTGAAACGATAAACTGCAGGTGGCGTATAATTATTAATTGAAAGGAAAATAGCTCCATCCGTCCTCTTACCAATTCTGACCTGCATCCTGAAGAAAAGCATCCCAACATCATGATGCTAACACTGTCATGCTTCGCCATGGGGATGATGTGCAGTTTAAGTCTTAAGTTACATTTTAGTTTAATCTTAACAGAACAAATTCTTCCACACTCTTGTTGTGTCGCCTACATACAGATAAATAATACATAATTTGTAAAAACAAACAAACAATAATGATATTATTTTTCTTTCACCTCAGCATTACTTTGTGTTGGTCAAGATTCCAGTGAAGTATAATTAAGCGCATAATCACAAAGTGTGATAAGGTTTAAGGGGAATAAAAGGCATTTTTACACATTTGGTGTTCCTCTGGATGTGTCAAAGCTTTTGCATAAGAAGCTTTACTTTGCTGACGAAGTTCTCTCAGATAAATTGTAAATGTTTTCTGCCTGTCATGAATGTGAAAACATGTTGTAGAAAACAAAAGTAGTGTAAAAATGGTTTGAAGCTGTGCAGCTGCAACTGGGATTAACGTTAGACTTCTGGTTTCAAGTCGGCAGCCATTCCTGTTGTGAAGGTGATAGAGGATCCAGGGGTAAGAATAAGCCCCACCTCTTTTGTCAAGAACATCATCCCTCTGTTGTCATCTGAAAGCAAAAGCATCCACATCGTTCTGTTGTGACAGTTTTTGTCGAGAGATTGTTTGAAAATCAATAAGATGCTTTTATGAATTATAGAAATGGTTGCAAGTTAAGTTTGTGTATGAATTGTCGGTATTCCTCACTGTGACAGTCTTGTTATGGCTCTTTCTGGTTTGTTGCATTTTGGCATAAGTTCCACTTCGACCCTGCATCTCATCTTGTCCGGGCGCATGGCATGATGGCACACAGGATAACACGGAGATGGTTTTTGTTATACATTGAAAATGTTTGACTCAAGTCCTTAAAGACAGGTCGCCAACCATTTCTGTTTAAGTGTGATATGTTTGTTTAGTTCAAAGCCAGGCTAATCCTCATGTTTTAGTTTTAAGTCATGGTTTGTTTAGCCTGTATTTCTGGGATATTCTGTCTGTTTTAATCAGCCATTGTGTGCAAGTCATCCAGGTGTGTTAATGCTATGCGGTGTAACTCTCAGTAAGACTGCATGCAGGTTGGTTGTTGTCATAAAGCAGGACAATAATAACACTTAACAGCTTTTGGATCCACCTCCTTGTTGGTTTTTGCTCATTTTTGGTTCATTCATGCATATTGAATGGGTGCATGTATCACTGACTGCATGAATGAATGAGTAATGCGAAGCCGCGAATACTGCGGAACAAGCATGTATCGTTTTCTTATTGGTTGGTTTACTCTTCACAACCAGAACACAGAGGACAGCGCTCGCATCTCCATCACCTTCTTCCGCCTGTTCAGGGTGATGCGACTGGTCAAACTCCTGAGCAGAGGGGAAGGAATCAGGACTCTGCTGTGGACCTTCATCAAGTCTTTCCAGGTGAAGTCTTAGAGCATGCAGAGTTGGGAAAAAGTATTTGAAGTCTCGCAATCAGGGCTTAGTCTGCTCTGTGCTAACTGGACAGAGTTGGGCTGTCACAGAGTTTCTCACATGGAGTCTGGAAATCATTGTTTCTGGCTCAGCGTTAAAACTTTGACAAAGAACTTCAACACATTGAAAATGGAGGAGCGCTGCATTCTTATCTAAACCCTCCCTCAGCTCCAGTAGACTGAAATTACACCTGTCCTCAGGTGAATGCAAAAGGAAGTTAATAATTTTCCCTAGGTTATACAAATAATTAAAAGAAGGTATTTTCTGAAACACCACTAGGATCTTGTAAAAGTCAAACATAGCTACCAAGATTAGCATGAACACTTTGCTACAAATCTGGTATCAAGTGTCCAGCCATGCAAAATATCTCTGCAATTTGTGTCTAAATTTGTCACTCCATAGTATTTTGTCTGTTTGCTTAGCCAAAAACTTTAACAACTTCGATATACGTTGCAGAAAACAATAATACTTTTAAATTTTTTCATTCCACAATAGGCTCTTCCATATGTTGCCCTCCTGATAGCCATGCTGTTCTTCATCTATGCTGTCATCGGGGATGCAGGTAATCTTGTCTGATGTGTAAACAGATGCTTGGAAAAACTTTCTCCTTCCTTGCATGGCCAGTTCCAAATACCCTACTTTTTTTTTTGTAAAGATTATATCTGTTTCTGTAGCTTTTGAATCTTACTTTAGCAGATTCTGTTTTTAGGTGTTTGGAAAAATAGCAATGGTGGACGGAACCCAAATCAACCGCAACAACAACTTTCAAACCTTTCCCCAAGCCGTCCTCATGCTGTTCAGGTTTTGCAACTTTAGTTGGCACAATCATTATCAATACAGATTAAATATGTGTCGCGGCTGTCTCAGTCACTTTTCTTATTCCGTGTCAGATGTGCAACAGGGGAGGCGTGGCAGGAGATCATGCTGGCCTGTCTGCCGGGGAAGCTGTGCGACTCAGAGTCCGACTACAACCCGGGAGAGGAGAGAACCTGCGGCAGCAACTTTGCTATAATCTACTTCATCAGTTTCTACATGCTCTGCGCCTTTCTGGTACCCCTCTGGTTGTCTCGCCACTTCCATTGCCCCTCGTGTTTACCACAGACCTAGCAGTCAACCAGATTTCACAGCAAAGCAATCAATGAAAAGGTTAAAAAATACTGGATGTTCTTGTTTCAGATTATCAACCTCTTTGTTGCGGTCATTATGGATAACTTTGATTATCTGACTCGTGATTGGTCCATTCTTGGCCCTCACCATCTGGATGAATTTAAAAGGATATGGTCTGAATATGATCCTGAAGCCAAGTAAGGGCAAAACCCCCACCCCAACATTTTGATTAAAATTTGTTCCTTAATGTTTTTTTTTTTAATTCTTGAAACCTGTTCATTCCTTTTCTTTTCACGTAATGTGTCCCAGGGGTAGGATTAAACATCTTGACGTGGTCACCTTGTTGAGGAGGATCCAGCCTCCGTTGGGCTTTGGCAAGCTCTGTCCTCACAGAGTCGCCTGTAAGGTGGGTTTATACAACTCACAACCTCATATTCACAGAAAAAAAACCTCCTCCATTACACTGATGCGTCTAAATTAATATGAAGTTTGAATTCTGCTGCAGCGTCTGGTGGCAATGAACATGCCGCTCAACAGTGACGGGACCGTCATGTTTAACGCCACCTTGTTTGCTTTAGTCCGCACCGCCCTTAAGATAAAGACTGAGGGTGAGTCTACAAGCTCAGGTTGTCGAAATCCTACAAAATTATTTTTACTGTTTTATTTTCTCATTGATTATTGCTGCATGGCAGAATAATAACAACTAATATGAAAACTGTCGTGATGATGTTCATGTAGAAAGATGCATGATCCATGTTATGCCACCAGAGGGAGTTCAATTCCACCCAACTCAATAGCTTAGAGTCCATCATCAGATGCTGATCTTAACTTGAACTCATTATTACCACTCTAACATTTTCACTATCTTTGAAGGTAACTTGGAGCAAGCCAACGAGGAGCTGAGAGCCGTAATCAAGAAGATCTGGAAGAGGACCAGCATGAAGCTGCTGGATCAAGTAGTGCCTCCTGCAGGCGGTCAGTGGTCGTTACACTCAGGAAAACGCTTTTCTGAGACCCAGTCATTTGAATTCACGCCAATGTGTGAAATGCAGGCTGAAAGAAATTTGAACTAGACAGAGTTTTTGTTAGGAACAAAAATGACATTCATTGAATGGGGGGTAACAAATATAACATAACATGATTAAAGGAAACAGAAGCAAACAGCTTTCATAATGTTATTTTTTTTTAAATTAAATTTGGGTCACTAGTTAAAATGTATTGTTCATTCTGTAATTCTCTCAAGAAACATACCTTTATTAATAATTATTTAACAGCTGTCGGCGTGTTGCAGAGAAACCACACAGTTTTAAAATCACAATCCTAATAGATCATTTGACCGCTTGCCGTCAATTCTGAGCATTTATTACAATTCAGTATTAAAAAATTAAGGGTTCATTTAATTTTCCAAAGCTCCAAATTACTTGGATATATTTATTGTTGGTTATTGTCGCTCGTTTCTTAAATGTTTACTGTTTGAAATCTGCTGTGTCTGAAACGTCTCCATGTTTGTCATTCTGCTCTAAAGTGACTTCCTGTGTCTGAGTAGTTTTTGCAGCTTCCACACTTTGTTTGCTTTAGTTAGTCAGAGTGCTGCATGTTTTTGTGCTTTAATTTCTGAATCCTTCTCTCTTTCTTCTCTTTTCTTTTGCTTGTGCTTGTTTTTTATTTTCTTTTTTTGCAAAGCGTCTCTGTTCCACAGCTTTCTCCGCTTTCAGTTGCTGGCATTGTCTTTCTTCTCTTTCTGCCGTCCTGAGCTCTCTGGAGTAGTTCTGCTTTGGTCTGGTGGCATGAAACTAGTGATACCTCTTTTTAAAATAAAAATAAAAAAAACTTCAACAAGCTCTGTACAGAAAAAGAACAGATGGTCCCTTATGTACTCTTCTCACAATAAATTTAATGACTAACTTTAAAACTTTAAGCCATATATTGCACAAAAATATCTAATTGAAACACTACTGACATATTTTCTTAAGATAAGACTTATCTTAAGTGTAAATTAAAAACACATGACTTGGTTCTTTTTCTGAGCAGAGCCTCTTGAAGTTTCTTTCTGGTTGTTTCAGGTGAGGTAGAGACGCTTTTTCTTCTCAAACTATTCAAGTAACAAACACTAAAGCGTCTACTTCCACATGTCACCTTTGCTTGACCACATTCTGTCAATAAGAGGGTCAAAGAAAGGTGATAACTTTTGAAAGGAACTCTACCACCCACCATGTTTCAGCTGCGTTTTGTTTTTCCGCTCTGCTCCCCATTCTGCTTCAGCAACAGCTTATCTGAGGAATCAGACTCATACCTGATGAGCCTCCCTGCATGGCAGATAAAACAAGACTGTAGACACAGCTTCCTCCAGGGTGAACATCCTTTGTTCATTCTGCAAACCCTCATGATTGATAGTGTAGATCCGACTCTGATTTTCCCGTGCTCTGCTGTTGCATGCACTTCCTGCTGCAGATTATGTTGTTCCAAGAAATGTAAAACCCCAACCCCCCAAAAAAACATAGACTTTTCTTTCTCTAAAATTCATGCCAGACAAATTGTCTTTTTCTCTGACATGAAGCAACAGGATAGTTTCAAAATGCATTTGCACATGATTAGATCTTTCTTTGTGTAAACACCGTAAATCATTTGGCAGTAGAATCTTCCAGGCGTGATATCTTAAATGACTGGTGAAATTGTGCACAAAGATTGGTCTTCTTCTCCTCCTGTAGTGTTTTGTACAAAGAATCAGTTCAGTACTTTGGAAACATTTTGTTTACAACCCCAAATGTTCTGAAAAACTTTGAAAAAGTTGCATAAGTCTGAAAAATGCCAAAGCCCAATTGTGGATCCACCAAACTAAATGGCAAACAGACAGTACAAATATATCTGAAGACAAAAACTGGAGAAAGTCATACAGACAATTGAATGGCTCTAAAATGTTTCCCGTTTCGGTGTTTAATAATATTAAATAGTTCAGAGATGATGAAGTGTATTCATGCATAAAGGGAAATTTATGGGCAATTTCTGTTAATTGGCCTCTAATATTAGTTTTTTTTTTTTGTAAAGCTCTGGCCTGCTGGTAGAGGATTTAATTGCTTTAAATTTATTTTTAAGAACTGGAATTAACAATACCCTACAACTGTGTGCGAGAACAGTCATACCAGCTTTTATTGATATTTTTAAACAAACACAAAACGATCATTAAATTAGAATTTTCAACCTGTTCTGAAAAACTGACTTATTGCTTAGTGTAAGCATTAATAATTGTAAACATTATTCTCCAGGTACATTCTTCATTGTGTCTGGACCCTCATTTTATATCTAACGTTGCCTAAAATCTGCTAACATTTCTAAATGCATCATATTTCATTACAGACACAGGCTGTAAGCAGAAGAAACAAACACAACACACAAACCCCGTCTTTAAGTGTCAGCCAGACACAACTAGAAATAGCTACGTATCTCCTCAGGAGACACTTCCGAGCAAAGCGTGTCGTTGGTCCTGCAAAATGTCGGGGAGAATTGGTGGATTAAAATCAGATGACAGAACCAACACATGACCACACTGGACATTCCCCAACACATGGCTCTAACTTTAGACACACACTTTCTGTATTTGGCATCCTCACTCTGTGGCGTCGACTATCATCAGGCACATTCAGGCATTCGTGCTTCTGGTCCCTCTCAGACTCCAGGGTATTTTTGAATGTCGTGTGTTTGACCTCGGCTCGGCTTACTGCAGAATATCAGCGCTGAGGTGTTTGGGTCCTGATGCGGGAGGCTTCTGGTGTGTTTGGTCTGTTCACTTAGATGACGAGGTAACAGTGGGGAAGTTCTATGCCACCTTCCTGATACAGGACTACTTCAGAAAATTCAAGAGGCGCAAAGAGCAAGGTCTGGTGGGAAGGAGGTCTTGGGAGAACACCACTCTGGCTTTGCAGGTGAGTCAAAACAGTTTGTATCTCAAACGGTTTGCGAATGGGCGCTAAAGAAATTAAGTAATTAAAAAATTAATATTATTTAATGAATTCCTAAATGTAGTGCCTTTTAAATGCCCCACTTAAGAACATTTTGTACATTTAAATGTGGAGTTACATGTTTTTGTTTTAATAATTTTCTATTTTATTTTAATTAAAGTGAAACAAACATTTTTAGAGCATTAAAGTAATTTCTTAAATTTATTTTCTCAAATAGAAAGCGATACTCTACAGTAAGCGTATTCTGCGGCAACCAGGGTATGATTGACTGAATATGACGCATGCTTGGTCTCTAAAACAGAAGATTTGTTTGTTTTTGCCTCTGCTGATGAGAAGGAACTTTTGAGCATAGCGTGAAAACGAAAGAAAAAAAATCGGAGAGATTCTGAGGAACCCCAATCACACCATGTCCCGTTCTCATGATGGAGAAACTCTTTCCCTGTGAGTGATCAGCTGCACAGCTTTTGGATTCCTTGGAGAAATACAAGGAAACCGTACAATGACTGAGTCATGTGGCCTGTTTGGTAGTATCGGTGTGTTTAGTCTGGTGCTTTTTCTCGTGGGTCACAAAGTTATCATTTTTCTTAATTACACAAAAACATATTTATTGTGATTATTTGTTTATTTGTTGGTATTTTTAGTTGTTCAATGATAAACTAAACATTAACTATTTTAATGAAAATTCAAGAAAAAAAAAATCTTTGTACAGCCGAAACATAAACGGTCACAGATCTTTGCCAGTTCTGAAGAAACAAGCAGGTTTCCAAATATCAACACTCGCTATTATCCATGAGGAACAAACACACCCACACAGGAATGTGTTTTTTCTGCTTTTGTCAAAGTAATTCTTTGGCTTGTTATCTCTTCTAAAGTGATTCTGCAAAGTCAGGCTTAACTTTTACAGTGACCTTAAAGTTATAGTACTCACCCCAGCTATAAAACTATTCCTTAAACATTATTTAAATCCACATTTTAGTCCCTACATTGATAATTGTCACATCTTACAGTTGCTGTTCTTACTTTGCAGGCCGGCTTGCGCACCCTGCATGACATTGGACCAGAAATTCGCCGAGCCATATCATGTGACCTACAGGAGGAAGGGCTTGTAGAAGCAACGGGAGAGGAAGAAGAGGAGATTTATCGGGTAAAAAACAAAAATAAAAATTATGTGTGTTATAAAGGAGGCCTGTTATTCAAAATATTGTCTGTTTGCGCATTTTTGTACTTCCATTTGCTTGTAGAAACAGACCAAGCACAAAAACAACCAACCAGTTGTTTTTTTGGGTCAAAGACGCTTCATTGTGCAAGTGTGCATTTGGTTGAAGTCATTTTCATATTTAAAACATTAAATTGGGGGGTGTGGCCAACACTTATTTGATATGTGTGACATAAACCTATTTAAAACATGAAACAGCTGATCCCTAAAGAAGCTCAAACTGAGGTGAAAACTCAAACTGAGGATTTTTTGTAAAAATGTGCTGAATATGTTTTGCACAGCCCACGCTAACTTGTTCAAGGAAGCATAATAGGTCTCCTTAATGTTTTAATGTACGCTTTGTCTAATTGTTAAAAATAAGACGGTTGGTTGAGACTGTTCACAATAGAAAAGTCAATTTACAATCAAGTAATCTGGTTTGTTGGTCTTTGTTTTTTGTTGCTAATGTCTGTTGTTTTTTTGAAGCGCAACGGCGGCCTTTTTGGGAATCATGTTAACCACGTTGGCATGGATCATCCCCAGCCCACTACCGTCACGCAGCGCCCCCTACAGATCATCTACTGCACTCCCACTCAGATTTGCAGGAGAGCCAGCAGCAGCGACAAGGAAGGAGAGACGGAGATGAACTCCTCACCCATCCACTACAACCATCATCATTCCCCTCACCTGTACGATTACCCTCACTGTAACTCCACCTCCGCTCAGTCCCCAATACCCTCCAACGCCAACCTCAACAACGCCAACGTGCCCTCGCTTCTCTCGATGTCCTCTGGGAGGCAGCAGAAGTGTTTATTGCAGCGATGTCGCCCGTCTTCAGCAAGAAATAAGACATCAACGTCTTACAGCAGGGGCTTGCATGACAAGCAGTGGAAGTCCCACTCCACAAGGTGGGTTACAGAAACAGCGTTATGTTTTAGTTCACTCTGTATTCACAGTTTTGGTCAAAATAGTAGCAGTCCACATCATTGTTAAGTTTTATAAAACTATTATTTTGATCTAAACTGAAAAACACATCTAAGAGGTAAAATATTACGACCAGTTTATCCTGTAACGTGAATTCGTCAAGGTACGGATTGCAGTTCTTGTGTAAAAATCCAGAACTGAATCTGTTGAAAAAAATGTAAAACTTTCACATTTTCTCTTGTTTCCATTGTCTGCTTATATCATTCTTCTCTGCCTGAATCGCCTCGTCCTTCTTCACATGGATCAGGACGCGTTACTATGAGGCCTATATTAGGTATGTAACCAATGCAGCCACTGAAATGACGTACAACTTAGAGCTTCACAACTTTTGATGCCAAATCTATTTTGGTTGAATTTGGAGTCACGCTGACAAAATTTGACATCTTTGCTCTCAATCTAGCCTGGTAAAAACCGGCCTCTTGTTCTACAGTATTTGCTTTGTGCAGACGGGCTGTAAGCCAAGATTTATTTATTTTTTGGCCGGGCTCCTCAAAATCTAGATGAAAGATTCTAAGAAACATTAATCAAATAACAAACTGGGTCCAGTACAATGAATGGAATTTAAAACAACCAAAATTGCAAAACGTCTGTGTGATTTTGCTGACAGGTCAAAAAATGGCGGAGCGCTTCACCCGACCATTCGCCGAGAGGAGCCAGGCGGCAGGGACAGCGATGAAGAGCGGGCGTCTGGGGAATACTTCAGTGGGGAGGAATTTTACGAAGACGACATCATGCTCACCAAGGACAGGTTGTCCAGGTCGGACTTCCATGACGCTGCAGACGGAGATTTGGACCCTTTCAGGGACGACTGTGAGTCTGAAGGTTACTGTGACGACGACAAGCAGCCTATATGCCAGGATGACCGGCGGTCGCCTCGGAGATGGTTTTTACCATCCCCCCAAGGTTCAGCTGCTTTCTCTTTAATAATGCTTTTGTCATTAAGTTGTTTGAGTGATTGAAATCTTTTAGATCTGCAAATACGTAAACATTTTACTCAAAGTACCTTAATTTGATAGAATTTATGTATTTTAAAATAATTAGTAGAAAATTGCAGTGCATATGTTATATTTGATTAGGCTATTCTGTGTATAAAATCTTAAATGTTTCCTCTTTCTCATTTGACATTATAAAATAAATAATATGCTTTTTGACAATATCAGCCTCAAACATCCTGAGTTTGAAAGAGTTTCACTTCTTGCTCCCTCTAAGCCTGCAACACACCAACATTCAGCTTTGAGTGTCTTCGCAGAAGAAGTAGCATAGATGAAGCTCCTCCATCTCCATCATGCACAGCTCTTCCACTGCACCTGATGCAGCAGCAGGTACGCCTACGCCTGTTGGAAACGAGTGAAATGTGGCTGATGTTGGGGTTAGAAACCTGTTTTGTCTCCTCGCTCCCGTTCAGGTGATGGCAGTAGCCGGTCTGGACGCCAGCAGGATCCCGCATCTGTCTCCCACCAGGTCGCTACGCTCGTGGGCCACGCCTCCCGCCTCCCCCATCAGCCGTGACTGCGGCCCTGCTACACGCCACTCATACAGGTCTGGTCGGCGCCGATCGACCGTCTGCATTGCTGTAGAAATGGAACGTTAAAATCTGCTGGTCCACAGACGTCTAAAGTCTGGGACTTTTTCATCTCATACATGTAATTTCCTGTCAGACTTGTGTCATCCATATTGCGTTCTGTGATTTGAAGTGGATGAGGCTACCAGTGTCTCGCTGCTAATGTACCCTTGTAGGCTTGCTAGCTTTTTGCAGTCTATGGTGAATTTTTGCATAGAGCCATATGCAGAAACACAAACAGCACTGCCAAGAGCCACAAACAAACCCAGGAAATTCCACATTTTTATCTATGCTTGACCAGTCCCTGGGTTTGTAGTTCTATTAGGTCTTAAATTGGATTAAGATGGCATTAAAAAGGTCTTTAAAAGTCTTGAATTTCAAAACAATGTCTTAAAAACATCAAAGAAACTCATGAGATTTAGAAATTCAAAATGTGTGTTTAGAAATTTAAACTGTAACAAAAGCTTATCACTTCTTTATCCATACATTGAAACCAAATAATATTATTAACTTATGTTTTCGGCTGTTGTTAAAAGAAAAACCCAATCCCTGCTGTTGCCTCGTGGATTTTGTAAAGGCTAAAGAGTGAAATGTCTGTGTTCAGGTGGACTGGCGCAGTACTGGCAGTGTGGGCAGCATCCTGGGGCCATGAAGAGAAGTTCTTGGTACACCGACTGCCAGGACAGCCTGCCCAGCCGCAGCCAAACACCGTCACGTCTGCAGCTACCCGCAGAAAGCTGCTCACACTTCCTGCAAAACAGAGGCAGCGCTAGCAGTCTGGTGGAGGCTGTGAGTGAATCAGTAACTTAATGTTGCTCAGCTCCGGTGCAGGTCAGCAGGCGACTCGAAAAGACACTTTCCTTACGGTGAAGGACAGTGGTGGCCTTTCTTGAGTTGACTGAAAAATGGATGGAGCTAAATTTATGACGATGCTGGGAAAAAATCAATAATCTATCAGTGTGGTCCATCTTCCAGCATGACAGAAACCCTGGACATCCATCCAGGTTGACAAAAGGCCATATCCATGTGTGAGAATGAACCAGTCAAATATCATACCTATGTATAGATTATAAAATGTCTAAAAATGTTCATTTGGACCATGTAGTAATGAAAACCTACTGTTTTTTTCTATCTACATCCTGAAGCAGTTACTGTCATCATCATCCAGTCATGGTTTAATTGTTACTGAAGGATAATTTATGACATAAAATGACAAAAATGGCTGCTGTTTCTTATGAGTTTCTCACCTTTGCATTCTGTCCAGCTAACAATCAGCTGTCGTCCTCAGTAATCTTAATAATTCAGCTATTTAATTAGTTCCACCATTTTAGTTTACCTTAGCTGCTTTCACACATTCTCTCCTTCTGATCTGATTTTTTTTTATCTGTCTTTTAATATTATCATCATGATCTTCCGTTTCTCTCGCATCCCTCCCAGGTCCTGATCTCTGAAGGTCTCGGGAAATACGCCAGGGACCCCAAGTTTGTGACAGCGGCCAAACACGAGATCGCAGACGCCTGCGAGATGACCATCGACGAGATGGAGAGCGCCGCCAGCAATCTGCTGAACGGCAGCATGGGTAACGGCGACGTGGCGGGGACGGAAAGCGTCAGCTCAGACTCGCGACTCGCCGACGCACACCAGAGGGACGACAGCGATGAGGAGCAGTACGTGGCTGTGAAGTGTGAGGAGGACCTAACGGACGAGATGATATGCATCACTTCTCTATAGCAGCGACTCAGAGCGACTCTGTCTGGTTTCATTTAACGTACGGGAATGTCTCAGCAGGCCCCGCGGAGAACAGAAAATTAGAAACGGGATAAACGTGAGAGCAAAGTGCCTTGTTTTCTTTTTCTGCTTAGTAGATTGCAGATAAAGCGGACACATGGTCATAGAGAAACAAACACAAAAAACCTGCTGTAATTGAAATCAGGAGACATAAATCTACACACCAGCTTCCCGGTGGGCAAGCCAGTCGTTGAAACTTGTTTTCTATTTTCCTAATTGACATCAGATGGATAAAAATTCTAAACTTTTGGTTTTAGATTCTGAGGATGATATAACTCGGCTATTGTGAGTATTATACAAGGCCGTAAATCTCATTGTTTACTTCATAAAGAGCCAACACAAAAAACAAATGTGCCACCACTCACCACCTGCACACACAAGCAGAAAAATTAAATAGACTTCTATTGTTGTGTAAATAGCTTTAGACGGCAAAGCATTTCTAAATCTTACTGCCTGGTTCGCAGTTTAGATGTCAAAAGCTAATTGGGCCTTTGGTTTTCCAAGGATTCCTGCAATTAGTTGCGTTTATGTGTATAAAATGTGTGATTTTACACCTTATTGGTCAGGATTGATGAAAACATATTTTTGTTTGCTTATCTGAATAAGATGGAAACAAAGCAGGAGCAGCTCAGATAGCAAAAGCAGCCACACCTCTTTCACCTTTTCCACATTTAGTCTCATTGGAACCACAAACCTCAGTGTAGTTTACTGTGATCTCATTTGATAGACCAACAAAACCATGCATATTTAAGAACAGGAAGGACTAAAATAAAGGCCATATTTATGTGCTTCAATGACGTAAGGCAGTAGAAACCGCAGGATGGAGAAAGAATCGTAAGGAGGATATGAATGTGAAACTGTCTCGATATTTGCACAACTGAAAGTCATGACTGGGAAAAAAAAGTCGGAGAGTGTTGGCACAAATTTCCCTCTGTCTATTTTGGCATCAAATTAATGATGTCATAATAATACAGTTAAACCCACTAAATAAGTATTGTCTTAGGTCAAAGCATATTTATGTGCTTCAATGACATAGATACCCATGTTCAGAGTTTCTCTCTATCCAATTTTAATGAGCTTGAGGAATATAAGAATTTATCTTGCAGGTAAAAATAAAAGGCGTCTTTTAGTTTCCATACAAACTGCTGCAGCTTGCTCAACAGAAGCGAGCCGCAGCAGCATTTACAGCAGAAACAGATTCTCCAGAATGTTGGCTTCTCAGTTTTCATTCATTATTATGCGTTACTTTACATAATATCCCTGTAAAACCTGTCAAAGCTTGTGGTTGTAAGGTGACAAATTGTGAAAAGGTTCAAGAGGCATCTATGCTTTTGCAAAGGACTCTATATTCAAATCAAGCTGCTGAGGGTTAAAAGTTCAGGGTTAACCATTGCTCTCGTTTATTTTTTTATTTGAAGAGGAAATTACATATCAATAATTCAAGACTTTGTCCTCAGGCATATCCTTCTACTCTATGTGCTTTCTCCTGCATCCTAAAATATGCAATTTGTCACTTTCCCAGAAATCATCCCAAAAGGATGGAGTTGAGTTTATTATGAGAAAAGGCTTAAATGTAAACCATTGTAACAGATCTTGAGGCGTGCGACGCTTTTACTCTCACCCATTTTTAACCCGAAACCATTCAGGATCGCCTCCACAGCTGCAAGAGTTTTACTTCAACGCTGTTTCACAACTGTCAGCAGTCAGATTGTTGACCAGCTGTGAAATCGGGTGGAATAGCACTCACATGTGATGGACACATATAACAAGCCTCCATGTTGAACATTTTCTGGGGTGAGCTCATCCATCTATCTCAGCCCTGCATGTTTCTGTGAAGCTTTTTCCTAAAGGCAGTTTCACAACAATTACATCTGTGGAGAGAGAAGAGAACCACACAGATCCAGCAGGATGTGAGGCTCGGCTTTATTTGCTCCAGCTTTGGCCTGCATGTTCCGCGACGCACTGCCAAACTATGACAGCTTCAGGTCGACTTGCAGATATCGGCTCTGGGCTGTGGAAAGGCAATGTGTGAAATCAAAGGGCTTCTTTACTGATACGACCAAAACAAAGGGATTGCTGTGCACAGCTACACACACTTCACCACAGTAGACACACATACATAAACAATAGGGACTTTGGTATTTCATAACCACATTAAAATTTAAACTAATTATAAAACTATTTGTCTGGATTTGGATATGATTTTTTTGCCCCCCTAAGATTGGATAGTAGTTATGGGGGAAAACAACACAGAAACATATTTAGTGACCTGACCTGGTCCACATGTTTCAGTTAAAAAACGTGCTTTCAAAAAAAAAAAAAAAAAACACACATGAAAGCAACATGTGTCTCAGTAAAACTTAATATCCGACAAAAACTTTTACCACGCTGCAAAAGTCAGTGTGAAAAATAGGATGACGTGTAGCTGAAATAACTTGTATTTATCTTCTTCTTAAGCTGTTTTATAGGCCTTTTGGCCACTCTCCATTACATGATTAATGAAGCCCATCAATATTTGCAGAAAAATTAAATTATGCAATAACTTTTATAAGGTCCTGAAAGCATGCCAATCAACTTGAGGTCCGGACTTTGACTAATCCATTTATACTCATTGATTTATTGGAATCATCCTCCTGATTGCCTTCCTTTGTTTTAATGGTGTTAAGATATTCAATTGTATTCGGAATGATCCAAGATTTAGCAGCGACTTAAGTATCCAAGTACCGAGGCAACAAAATCATTACATCACGATGCTCAATAGTGGGAATGTTTTAATGTTACCATTGAATATTAAAACATTTTTCTACAAAAAGTCCTTTCTAAAGCGAACATTACTTACCTAAGATACAATATTGAGTTTTTTTAAGTACAAAAATAATCCCTTGTTGAATCAATGGGCAGACTACGAATTATTCATGAGGACTGACTGATGTCCTTCATTTTTTAGGATTACGTTAACACATTCTTGAGCAGCACAGGAAAGCAAACTGTTTGGAAAAACAAATATTGTGTCATGGTTTATCTGAGGTTTGGACAGACGCAATAAGAGTTTAGAGACCGTGAGTCAGAGTTTGTGTTGAACCAACAGAAAAATAATCCTGATATTTGAAAGCTTAGATTTCTAGCGAAACTGAAAATTTTCAAGTACTAAGATTTAATCAAGGGTGAAAGGAAAACATTTACTTAAATAGGTGCAGTTCATTAATGCTCTTTACAAACCTGTCCAACAGTAGTGAGGTGTCTTGGATTACCAGCCAACAGGACGTCAGCAGCTGTTTTGTACCAAACATCTTCCTTATTCAGTTTTTTATCAATTGCTGCTTGTAGAAATAACTTTATAATAAAATCAAAATATCAGCCAATGCTGCATGATGCTGCCACAGTCCAACTGTCAAATGTCATCCACTTACAGAAGAACACAATTTATAGTACAAGTATTTGAAGAAAAAAAAATCAACAATTTCGTTTTATCAGGAGATAAAGTGACAAAGAACACAAGGCTTGGTTGTGCAACTCAGCTTTATTTTTTCTACTTTGCCACTGCTTTACAGAGGTCTGTAAAAGGTTTGTAAAAAAACAAACAGTTTGTATAGTGTTTGTAAGAACTAACTTGAAGATTTCTGCTTTTCTACCTATTTGTGTATAAAACACTTTAAAAGTTGTCTTTATCTACTTTGTAGCAGAATATTAGTACCTTCTAGATTTTGTACCAACAGAAGCAACATCCTTGTTTTGTACATTTGATTTTTTTGCCTGAAATGATGATGCACCTGCTGATTTGTAATAATTGCTAAATAAAGAGGACAAGGTCAGGATGGCTTGTTGACAATCAATTAAAAAAATAAAAATAAAGAAAAGCTCTGATATATTAACATAAAACATAAAATTTTCTTTTCTGATTCACATGTTTATTCCTTCAGAAAAAAAGAAAACAGAAAAAATGATTAATGCATCATTGCACAACAGTGCAGTATAGTGTAAACAATAGCTGTCACAGTATGGATTTTTAACAAAGAAACACAATTTAACACAGTTAAGGTCATTGTAGAAAATAAGATCCATTGTAGCTTATAATACGGATTAATTGACTTCAGTCAATACTTAAGATATTAGTGAAGATATAAAAAAAATCACAACAAATATGCATCAACTTCGATCACAAATTTGTATCAACAATAAAATAATCTTAAAGGCACTATTTCTTTTATTGCATTTATGTTAAAACCTTAATTTTCCTTATCAGTCGTTTATAAATTTTATTAAGATAATCTATGTAATCACTCATAAAAACAATACAAGAAATGTATTTTATTTAACACATACTTGGGATTTCTAAGTTTTTAGTGTAGAGAAAAAAGGTGCATTTTAACATAATTTGCCGTGTTTGATATTTAGCTGTTGTTAATAAACACTCCACATGAATGTGCAGTTTAGTGCTCTGCATGTTGTGATACGGTCTGGAGCAAGTCAAGGAGAACTGCTGCTTTAAAGGGCAAATGTTGCATCTTTGATATTGAAAATGATGAAAAGCATTAAATCGCAAAATGAGTTTTCCACTGTTTTCCAAAGTGGATCAGAAATGCCAACACATTTTCCTGAAACATAAAAAGGACCTTTTGAGTCATGATCAGTGAAACAGGCACAGTCATTATGGAAATCTCTCAAGGCAATGACAGAGAAAATATTTTGTTTCTGACTTGAAATAAAAATGTGGAATGCATGCGTTTCCATTTTTTGGAGACTCAGAAAAACAACGTGGTCAGCATTTTTGCTGCAGTGCAGGAAATGTGAGCAAAAACTCTACGGAAGCAAACAGCGTTCTCCTCCGAAGCTTATAGAGCAAGTTAAGCAGCTGTAGTCCTAAATATAGATAATTTATGCTAATCTCCCCTGGATTTTCCATGCTGCATTAGGGTGGAGTAACTTGTTAGAGCCAAATAACATTTGAGAAAATTAACCTCAGTCGTTTAAAGTGTGCTTGTTGTGACAGGCTGTGACCTTACTGCAGCATAGGTGAACTCCTGAACAGAAGGACACAAACTGGTGATAAACTGGAAAAAAGTGAGACTTGTATGAAGTAAATCTTCACCTTTTGACTCAAATTGGAGCTAGAGAGTTACACTTTCCTACTTTTGTCTTGGATGCATATTATGGCATGTATTAATGCAACAGTTCTAAAAGTATCAGCACTACTCTTCTGTACCTTCCAGCTGCATTTTCTTCACTTTGTTCCCCACATATATAGTTTTATTTTTGAAATTAAATGAACAATTAAGAACAAAAAGAAGAACAGAGCCTTGAGACCAAATTTGTAGTGAGCAAGGGGTATAAAAATGCATTGAAATGAATTGAACACAATTGAGAAGGAAAATATGTAAAAATGGTATTTGCCCTAAAATGCAACAGCTGCAATCTAGAAAATAAAAAAAACTTTTGTACATTAGTGTAAAGAGATCTGCTAGTGCTAGAATCTGAAAAAGGCAGTTATTTTTTGGTCACAAAATCTTAAGTTTCTTCCTTTTATATGTGTTTTAAAGCTTTTGTTTTTTGAAGGAGGTTTAAAAAGATGTCCCTACGACTTATGTCAGAAAACAAGTGTCGTCCCACATTTGTTCAAATAGAAAATGCTGATGTAGGCAGCTTTGCAGGCCAATCTAATCAGCACAAATCTTTTTCTGAACATAGAAGCAACCGTGCAAGCACACTGGCTTGCAGTAAAAACGTCCCTTTTTTGAGATAAGGTTAACTCAAACAGAAACTAAAGAGCGATTGCCTTCCTGTTAACTTCAACAGTTTGCAAACAGACCTCTGAAAATGAGCTGAACTGAACAGCTGCAGGTTTGCAGGAAGGAAGCTGATCAGTAGACAAGAAGACAGAACCTTGCACTGTAACTGAACCTTCATATCAGAGGCATTAAATCATAATTAACGGGACAATAATATTTGAAGCTGAACCAAATGACTTATAGTCTGATTTTTGTTTTATTAGTGTTTCTCTGTAATACTGAAAACATTTCAAGCTGTGGATACGGTGAAATTGAGATGAACCATGCTGGTGCAAACGGCATTCCCCTTACGCCCTCATGTATTAGTAGATTTAAACAAAAACACTGAGCAAGTGTTCACTGTTGCTCAGTGTACAGCAGCACTCTGAACTTGCAGTAAATTGCATTTACTGCAATTTGAAGTAAATGCAAATTGCAAAAAGCAATTTGCATTTACTACACAGCTGCTATGCGGCAGGCTGTAATAATGTCTACTTTTAGAATGATGAATGATGTCTTAGCATGTTGGTCCCAACCGGCAGACTGCCTGCATATCAAACTTCATGCTAAATCCTTCACTTCAACGCAAAGGGCAATTTGTGGAGTTCAAAAAGAGTTTAAGCGAATCAAAAGTTAAACAAAATTAAGTCACACTTTTTGTTGATTAAATTCCCCGCTGCTCCCACCTCAGAGATCGTTCTAGTTAAATCATCGAATCGGCCGATCATCTCTGCGTTTCGAGCGTTGGGGGCTGGTACACAGGAACCCCGGGGTCCACGAGAGGAGGCAGACCCCTGATCATGTCGGCTGCCTTTTCTGCTATCATGATCGTAGGGGCATTCAGGTTCCCGCTCACGATGCTGGGCATGATGGAAGCGTCGACCACCCGCAGTCTCTCCAGACCCAGGACGCGTGCGCTCGAGTCCACCACCGCCGTCGGATCGGAGGCGGACCCCATTTTGCAGGTGCAGGAGGGATGGTAGGCGCTGTCGGCCTTCTGGCGGACGAAAGCGTCGATGTCGGCGTCTGACTGGACCTGGAGACCGGGCTGGACCTCAGGACCGCGGAACTGGTCGAAGGCACTCTGAGCGAAAATTTCTCTGGACAGTTTGACGCACTGCCTGAATTCCCACACATCAATATCTGCAAAGATAAGACAGAAAACGCACATGATTCTGTTTTATCTTCTGCTCTATTTCAGTCAAGCAAGCGACTTCGGTTCTTACCAGTGGAGAGATAGTTTGGCTGGAGAATTGGGTGATCTGTGGGATTGGGACTTTTCAGCTTCATCCAGCCAATGCTGGTGCTTCTCATCGGTCCAACATGAACCTAAAACATGAGAACACTCCTTATTTTTGAAGACTTTTACACTTTTAGAGATGTTGGCAGGATAGCAGAGGCTCCAGAAGATTAAGCTTATTAAAAAGTTTACTCATATAAAACCAGTCAATTAAGTATATAGTTCTTCACAACAATGGTAAGTAATACTGGGAATTTGTTATCAAGTAAATAACGGGCTAGAATAGCAAGTAGTACCAATACTTATTGTCTTGAAATGTCATGATCATTTAATAATTTTGTGATTTCATTTTTGGCTAACTGCATTATGTTAATGATACTATAAGGGACATACATTTAGGAAAATTTGTATTTTTTAATTAATGAACAGCAACATAAAATTCTGTAGCAGTATATAGATAAAATAATTCTCACAGTACCTTCTTCTACACATTTGTTTAAGAAAAAAGTTGGATAAAAGCCAATAGTATGATATGAATACACTGATATCGACAACACAACAGAAATATAGAAAAAATTGTTCATAAAGCCCTTAAGAAAGTATTTTTGAGTCACCTTTGTTGGCCCTATGCTGGTTTTCTCACAAGGAAACTTTACTACTAGGATTTTTTTCACAGAGATCTTCAGCAAACTCTTGAACCGTTCTGTTGACAGAGCTTGTAGGTCCTTCATGATCGCCGCAACAATCCAAAAATATTGGTATACCGTCGCCTGTAACTGCATGTAACCTCTATAGCAATACCATTTTGCCTTTAATTAACACAAAAGGGTGACCATATTCATTCTATATTCATATTTTACGTTTGTGGTACATGTAATATTTTTGAAACCCAGTATAATTGTATTCAGCTGGCTGAATATAGACTATAATATTTAATCAGTCTGCATCTCTGATCAACTTTTACCAACATTTTCTGTGTCTTGGAGTTCACTAGAAGGTGAACTGCTTTGATATGTTTATGTAAATTTGTGGCGTTATCACAGTGATAAATTCCCTCTTCTGCAAAGCAGGGAGAGTGAGGGGCAAAGTGAGCCTGCAAGATCGAGGAGCCAAGGAAGGACATGCCTTCTGCACTGACAGTGTTATTGCACTTATGAGCAGATGTTTTTAATATCAACATTATAAAGGCATGACATCACGGAATCATAATAAAAAAGTAAGCGCCTGATGTTTGGCATTGGCATATGGCATGAACTCTGGGGAAATTTCTGAAATTTACATGAGGTTTGGAAGAGACAACAGCATTGACCCAATACCAGTGTTCACTTGGTATCTATTTGAATCAAGCCCTACTTAAACAACTTCACCCATTTTAGGTAGTTTCACACTGTAGAATATGTTTTTTCATGAGTCTCTTAAATTATCTGCATGGGAAGATGGAGTTAACCCAAAGCTATTTCCCTTTGAGTAATTCTCTGGAAGAGAGAATCATTTCCCAAGAATTTTCTGTGAAGAGCCAGGTATTAATGTGACTTTCCATGGAACAGTAAAGGGAACACTACATGTACTACTTTGTCTCTTCAACTTTCTGTTGAAGAGACAAAGCATACAGTTTATTATTAGCAGTCTAAATGAAAGTAATGAATAAATTTGGGTGCACGGACTGCCCACAGTTTGGAGGAAGAAAGAGAAAAGAGCATATCTGTCATTTGTCGCACCTGATACGCCTCTATCTTTGAAGGAACCCGGCCATGGTCAATAACTTGTGAGGGCAGGAAATGAAACTGAATGTCAGGGTGTGTGACGTGAGGTCGACTCCGGATAAACCCTCCGCTCTCCAAGTGGGCTGTAGCTCCGTAGCCTGGGGGAAGAAGGTTGAGACAATAAAAAAATTTTAAAAAACCAATCACAACCTGATTAAAAAAAGTATGTCTACCAACTCTATGTCTGGCATAGCTAATGTTCCTAACTGCCAAACCACAGAGTTGTTTCCTGCAGTAATCAGTTGTCAATCAGTGCCGTTTGTCACTGCATAGAACATTTCCCAGAAACACCCGAGTCCTATTTGAGGCAAATTCTACAAATTGCATTGAGTAAAATAATTTTAAAAAAATGTTCCTATAAGGTATATATGTGTCTTAGTTTTATATATACATATAAACAAAATTTATATATATATATATATATATATATATATATATATATATATATATATATATATATATAGTGTATTCATTTTGTTGATCATTTTGTTGAAAAAACCCCCAAAACATTTAGGTAAAATAAAAATATTATAATGTTTGGAGACAACACAGAATGTTTCCCAACCCTGGTCCTCAAGGCACACTGCCCTGTAAATTTAGGTGCTTTGCTTCAGCACGCCTGATTTTAATTGGAGGCTAAATTTGGCTTCTAATAAACTTGACATCTGACTCAGGGTTTGTTTCAAGCAGGGGCACATCAGAAACAGGTGGGACAGTTCACTTTGATGACCTGTGTCAGGAAATGCTTCTATAAAATCTGTACATGCCACAGGGTTAATATGCTCTCACATGTATTTCTGCAGGGAATTGTAAACTCTTTGTAACGTAAAAGCACAAAGCAGTGTACCGCGCTAATGTGGAAAGAAAATGACAAAAATAATGACTAAAAATAATGGTTCAAAGTCATTTACAAATAAAAGTTTGAAATGTGTGACCCACAATTGTTTTCACCAGGTCTGGGCGATACGGCTGAAGAACGATACAAGGATTTCATAACCGTTGTTATCAATAAGTATTGGTTTTTTTTTAATACTTAAAATACTGCCAATGATAATTTGCTCTCCTTTTTGTTTATTCTAAGCAGGAGGAGAAACATGAATCTGCTGATGCAAAAGTCACATTAGAGGCTTGCCATAAGCCATACGGAAAACAAAGAAACACAACCTGGTCACGTGAAGTTGCCTAAATGGAAGGAGGAGAAAGCAAATTGTTTTTCAGATTCTTATTAGCACAAAATGCTGAAAACCGTTCATGATTTTAATTCCACTTCAGCATTAAGAACTACTTGTGTTTCGTCTAACATACGACTGCAATAAAGTTCATCAGGGTTTTGCATAATTGTAATGTGATAAAACAGTAAAAACGTCAGGGGATATAAATACATTTGCGAGGTGAATTTGTTTACCGGTGAAAAGAGTTAGCCACTCGAGGCCAATCTTGATCATGTGGAAAGGCTTCTGGGCCTTGTACAAGGTGATGGGCTGAGTGCACTGCTGCTGGACGTACAGCTCCAAGTGGTCCTGCAGGTTATTACCAACGCCTGAACAACACAGTGAAGAAGACAGAAGTTTATGTTCAGTTCAATCCAAATCCAATTAAAAAAATACTTCAATAAATATAACTTCATTACGTTTTTGCTGAAAGTCAGAATATGCAAGCTTGTTCAAAGAGTTATTATGCAGTGGACACTGGTGACAGTGGACAGAGAGGACTCTCAGTAGTGGTTTGTACTGCGGTGAATCTGAAGGAGCTTCTTATTCATTCAGTAAAAGTATTCCGAGCATTTCTGCAGCTGGCAGAACTTCAACTTGAGGTCTGAGGTAGCCTGGTAAAAACCAGACCCGTTGTCCTACGCTATTTGTCCTGTGCAGAGAGTCTGGGATCTCGACTATTGAGAAACGATTGCTTCCCGTTTTAAATTTCCTATAGTTAATGTTTGCCCCGAAGTATGAAATACGCCAGTTCAAGTCTATGAAGCTTACGGTAAACAACCATCCTCCGCTATGTAGAGAGAACAAGACACCTGTTAATGTTAATTCAATGTGTGGAAGCGAGGGCATCGCAGACTGTCTCCGCTGCCATTGCAAAAACTACAGGCAGACTACAATTCTAAAACAGCGCAGAAAATCAACGTCCTATTCACCACTTCTCCTTCTGCTCCCTGATTGGTCTGGTACAACATCTAGCAGAGGGAATCCAAGCGAGTGAGAGAAAGCCCAGACTGTGACGTCTTTATTTGAGTGGAGTTACACAGGAAGGCGACTTTGCTCAGTGCAGGCTAAGTCGGATGTGTACAAGGTGAGAGTAAAATCGCCTGTCGTGCTCCAGTGTTGCTGAATTTTTCAAACAAGAAATGTTTGTAAAGTTACAGTGGTTGTGCAACAACTGCCTCCTTCAGGAGTATGAGAACCAGCTACCAAGGAACGACAAGGTCAAAAAGTGATTCAAAATCCTGAACGCCTTAAGATGTAATCTCCATAAAATGTATACAGAGCAATGTCAACAGAGTCTTTAAACTTCACGCACCTGGCAAGTGCTGAATGACAGGAATACCGAGGTCTTTCAATTCATCTGCATTTCCCACACCAGACAGCATGAGAAGCTGAGGGGAATTGATGGCTCCTCCACTCAAGATCACTTCTTTATCTGCAAACACCTGAGTAATAATGAAAAAACTGAGTCTGTGAGCTGTTGTAAAAAAATGAAAAATGGTAACAATGATTTAAAAAAAAAACATCTTTTTTTTTGTCTACTGTATTACATGAGATAGTTGTGCTTCTTACTCTCTTTTTCTCTCCGTTCTGCACGTACTCCACCCCCACAGCACGCTTGCCATCAAACAGGATCTTGGTGGTCAAGCAGTGCACCTCTGTCGTCAGATTGGGCCGACCCAGTGCAGGTCTGAGGTAGGCACTGGCAGTGCTCCATCTCTTTCCTGAAAACATGTGTTTATTCAGACAAGATTTATTTGTGCAGTAAAATCCTGGAGATTAGTGGTGGTATCCACTTTTTCCACCCAGCTCAGCGCTCCATTTTTGAGAAGATACAATCCCCAAGTGAAAGATTTTGCTTTAACTCTAGATTAGAAGTTTGGCTTTCAGTTGTGGCCAATTTACTGATATTTCAGCATTGGCAATTAAAGCAAAACATACAAAAGATGAAATATAGGATCATATTTAACATTTTGCAATAATAAAATTGCAAAAAATATAGTTATTTTTTGTTAGTTCATTAATGCAGCTCCTGTATTAAGCCTGACCTGATCCCTTTAACTCTTCTTTCCATCATTTTTACTAAACCTCAAGTGTTTTCCTCTCTGTTTCTGTTACCTTTGTAGATGGTCATGTCCATCCAGCCAACGCCTTCCTGCTGGTATCCATTCATGTCATCAGTGAAGGGGTATCCTGCCTGCTGGCCTGCTTCGATAAAAGCGTTGTGCAGAGGATGGTTGGTCTTTCCTCTGGACACGTGAAGAGGACCGCTGCCACCTCTGTACCTGAAATAAAAAGATGGAAAAACAAAATATTACAATATCTCACAAATGCTCAGGAGATTTCAAACTCCAGCAGGAAGCGTGGGATTATCGTATAAGCACCTCTGCTACAATATGTTCATTAATGTCAGACAATTGTCTTATTAATGTTGATAATAACAAAGCTAGTTAGTGTAGCCCATGCACTCTCTCTGTACTAATTAAGATTCATTCACCTCAGAATGATAATAGCTTTAAGTTGGACATATTTACAAATTAGTTAAATTAATAGTTTATGCACAGTCCTGGGTTCCTCTATGACTGTGAATAAAGCCCTGTCATTTCAGATTCAGATTGAATATTTAGATGAATATTAAAAATAGAAGAATTAAACCAAACTGTGACATCACAAAAAACATAACCATGACCATCTACAAAGGTAAGCGGAGTTTCACATTTCCATTAGCAAAGACACATTCATACTCTTGAAAAACTTCTGTTCATCTTAAAATACACATAGACACACTTTGTTGTCATTCAATTAAAGTAAGCCCATTGCATCTCAAGTGTCCTCATGTACCTAGAATATATGAAATACACGCAGGAAAACTTCTTTCCATTGACTCAAGGTGACTTGACTTGTGGTGTTGAACTTTCTAAGAGGTTTGAAATGTATTACACTGTATTCATACAATCAGACTGAGTACCCTGATAATGTTTTCTAATCCTAAAAACTGATGGTATTGTTCAGACTATTTTCCCATTGCTGGTTCTATGACAGCAAAAATAAATTAATTAATGTCTGACAATTATGATTAAACACTATTATTTCATACCGTGGACTAGCACAGCTCCAATACTTGATGGAACCTATGTAGTGGAGTTGTCTTTTGATAACTTTTATTTTTAAATTAGTCTCATGTTTGTGTGGCTTTGATTGCGTCAGAGTAAAGATTTATAGCCAATAAAAGAAAAAGAGATGGATTTTTTTTTTAAAGCATTGACACTTTGTGATAAAAAAATCTTATCGCCCATTTTTAGACTCTGTCAAACTGATGCAAACAAAAAGTAATTTGCAAAATAAATAAAGCCATTTAAACTAAGTACCTATTTTCTCCCAGTTCATGGCTCTGGGCTTTTCTGAAGTAAGGCAGACAATGCTCATAGTCCCATCCCTCTGCACCCTCTCTCTGCCAGCGGTTGTAGTCCTCTGCATGTCCACGGATGTAAACCATGGCATTAAGTGAGGAGGATCCTCCCCAGACTCGACCCCTGGGCCAGTACAGCACCCTGTTGTCCATGTGGGCCTGAGGTAACGTGTGGTAGAACCAGTTATACCTGAAAAGGAGTGAAAAGAAACGCAGTAGGACAATTAAAAGAAGATTCTGAGCTCTGAATTATTATCAAGACAAAAGTTTATCAGTCACTGGCGTAAACTGAGGATGATCTAATTGCTTAAATTTATACTCAATCACTGTACTTGTCATCACAGAGGTTGTAGGTCAGTGCGGCTGGCATGTGGATTTTCCACGAGAGTCGGGAGCTTCCTAGCCACTTGTCCTTGGGTCCGGCCTCCAGCAGACACACGGACTCCTGGGCATCTTCTGTCAGGCGATTGGCGAGGACGCAACCCGCTGACCCTGCCCCAATGACCACATAGCTATAGGACGGCGTTTTCTGATTGGCTGCAGGTGAGGATGAAGCGTTCCGGTGAGAAGCTGAGGTAGTGAAACATCTGCAGTAGAGCAAGGGAGGTTAAAAAGAAGTCCTGTAAGTTTGGCCATTTCTCTTGAAAAAGTGCGACAAGAAAGCACCTGCCATCCTTTATGAATCTTCTCCAGGTTCCTGTCGCAAGTCTCTGGGCTCCTGCTTGGCCCATCATGGCCAAAAACGGCATTTTGGGGAAGCTTCCTTTATGAGCTGTACATTACAATGATGATTATTTAGCAGAGGACACAAGGTGAATGTAAAACTAAAACAGAGTTGAAACACAAGGTGAGGGTTTCTTCAAGTACAGACCTGCCAAATGATAAAACCAAATGAAGCATGGTTTTCCCATGCTTTTTCCTAACAGTCATCAGAGAGTAATAAATTAACTTGTTTTCTCTTTAATACCTTTGCCTATTGGTCTAGTATTAGAACTGTCATGCATTTTACTAAATGAATGACAAACCTCAAGCGTCACACATTTGTGACTAATGCTGAGCAATGGCTTCATCATTGTGGTTCTCTTTCAAGTTCTTATTTTTACCTTGTACTGACAATTATTTCACCATGTGTGATGCTGTGTTGCAAACAGGCTGAGTCTGCACTAAAATTTACAGCACCTGCAATAAACTGTCTGGTTTGCAAATATTTAATTCAAGAAAGAAGTTGCCAGGTTTGTTTATCCCAAATATCAGGGAGCTTTAAGCAAATGAATAGAGAAGCATGTCATGCAGTTTTGGACATATTTTAAGTACAGTAGTCGCCTCTGGTGCATTGTATGAGTCTCCAGTTTTTACTTATTCTGCCATTAAAGAAAAGAAAATTAGACTTTGACGTCTTGTAAGATTGCTCTGTCTGGGCCATTGCGTTTTTGTAGATGTAACATAAAGACGTCAGAATTTACAGAAAATATCGCAATTATAAATCAAATAACTGCACTGTGTGTTGAGCTGTTCATGCAGGCCTTTAAACACAGAAGAAACACTGCTACTTTGACCAATGAATGTACATTGGTCAAATGATACATAATGGGACTATTTCCCCATTACCAATCATTTTTAAAACCCAGGGTTTCACATGTTTGACGTAAGGGCTGACTGTCAGTGCAAAACTCCTTTATCAGCAAATCTTAGTGTTATCACATTTGGTCATTGACGTGAGGTACATTTTAAAGCACTTCTGTTGTAAATACTTCCCTTTACAATGAAATTTCCCTCAGAATTTACCACTGGTTTTTCTTTAGGTCAGCTGACTCTGACTGATTCCAGTTTTTTTTCTAAATAGTCAAACTTTAGGAGGGGGGGGGGGGGGGGGGGGGTGCTGCAGCTTCTTTGGGTGATTTAAATGTTTACAACAAAAATAAATGAGACTTTTAAAGATTATTCCTCAAAAATAATCCAAAGCAAACCTTGATGAAATTCAAGTAATGTCTATGCTTTTGGTTAGGATCAATGTAAAGACGTATATTTCAACCATTCATAGATATCCTCATTTAATTCCCATTTCAATGGCAGACATCATTTTGACTGAAATCTAATGTATGTCAGTTTTGATGCATTTTATTGATATTTTTTGTTAGGTGGAGCATCTCTAGCAGCTCCTCTATTTTAATATACAAATGTAAACAACATTCACCACTAATATTCAGCGAAAGTTCAATAACTGACCGATGGGTACTTCTTGTTTGTCTTTTTAATCTAAACATGATTAAGGTAACAATTGTAATTGCATTAAGTTAATGCGATGCGCGCAGACCTGTTGCTCTGTTCGGACATGGCAACACAGACTGACTGCTTCTATTTACAGCTTTTAGTTCAAAGGTGGCGGTGAAACAGTTCCTTTCCTGAGAACTAGTGTGCTTTATTTTACAAACTATTTGCTTAATACTCAATAGCAGCTCCACTGATAACATGAATGTGCAAAACCACTTCTTCCCTAAGATGCAAACTCTCCTGTTTAAAGTTTTGCAGTTTCCACTTTTGCTCCTAAAGGTTACTTTTACGACATCTATTCTTTAGTCCTACATAATCGATCGTGTATTTGACAAACGTGGATTTTTTTTAAAGGATTAAAATAAAGCGCTTTACAAATATTGTGTGTAAAGTCCTTGTGGCTGCATCATCGTTAGTTTTCCAGATTAAACTCCTAACTTTGCTCAGAGAAGCTGAGGAGCAGCTCGTTAGCCGCTCAGCTCGATGTTGAGGGAAAACCGCTGCATGTCGCTTCAGAGACTCCGTTCAGTCGAGCTGAAGCAGAGCGAGACACGTTTCCTACCCACCTACATGAAAATGCGTCATTTTCTGTCATGTTTAAGTTTTTTCATGTGTATTTTGCTCTTACCTTAGCTCTCGACTGCAGCTCTAGAGGGGGGGTGGGGGGGTCAACAAATGTGAGTGGGCGGGGTCAACAAATGTGAGTGGGCGGGGTTAAGTCTGCTGGTCTTTCCCTCGTTCTGCACAGTTTTGTCACAGGGCTCGTTAAGTCCGCAGCGGGCATCAACACGGGCTCCTGCAATCTTTATTCATGCTGATTTTCTTTCTTTCTTTTTATTTTTGAATGTTCTAGATCAGACAATGATCATGTGGCAAACTATAATGTTTTTCTCTCTGCTTTGTGGTTTCTCAGGGGACAGCCCCACGACATAGTAAGTTATCCATCATTATACCCACTGTAGATAAATTTGATATTGTCTGAGAACATTGTGTCTGAAATTTTCTCACAGAAAGTTGAGTGTGCGAAGACTTACGGTAAGCCCAGTGTTTTTATTATTATTATTATTATTATTATTATTATTATTATTATTATTATTATTATTATTATTATTATTATTATTATTATTGTCAGCTATAGTCTTTGCCATAACTGGCAGCAAATGTTGTACATTGCTGTGGGTGAATTTTAGCCCATTAACTATTTTACAGAAGGTAATTCTTGTTTATGATTATGCTAAACAGTGTCAGTGTCTTAAAGATGCCACAGTGAGAAGTGACACATGAAAAAATATATCCTTTGTGTCCTCAGTCCTATAATACTTTCCTAACTGTTCTGGGGATTATCTAAATATTGTCCTTGGTCCTTTGTTGACCTCTTGGATGAGTTGTTGATGGTCCCGCCACTGCCCATGTTTTCTCCATATCTCTCATTGAGGTTTCCCAACGCTAGAGATCTTTAGGCAATTTTTTGATTGTTCTGATCAGGCAGCACTCAGGGTAGAAAAATAAATTTCCCTGGAAGTTGTTGATAAGTAACATGAATTTTAAAACTTCGTTTTGTATCCACTCAGGTCATCTTTGTCTGGTTTATTTTTTTTGACCATTTGAAACAACACGACTTCAGCGTCACCTCCAACGAATCAAAAAAAAAATCTACAAAAAGACCAAACAAAAAACCCCAAACTTTTTAATCCCGTTGCAAAATAAATGACATTAATTAACAAAAACCAATAATTTAAATGTTGATTATTATGCAAAGCTAAATAGTTGATATCCACTCTGAAATCTAGTTAATCTAGTTTCTAATAAAAGTTACACATACAAAGTAGCATGCGTTTTTTATTTTGCTAATCCCACTGATAGTAATTACCACCAGTAAAAGGACAGTAAAAATTGTTGGCTCGTCATAAAAACAAAATCAGTTATGTGTCACTGACTTCACATTATATTATGAAACTAAAAGTTTTCAAAACCCCAGCACAGTCTGCTCAGGTGAGCAGGTTTGGAAAACAGTGTAGACATAAAAATAATGTCTACATATATTTTCACTGAGACCTCTATAAATGTACTACAAACCTTCATAATTATTACACTTCACTATGTTCTAGCTTTTCCCACAACAGCCCTAAATGACAGTCCATCTCAGGTGGCAGGCCTGAAAGTGGAACTGGTGACGGTCGGACATGAAAGAAAGCTGAACATAAGCTGGGCGATCAACATTGATGGTAGGAAAAACCATTCTTGTTTTTGATGTTACGAACCGTCACCTCAAGACAGATTTAAAGATGTAGGTAAAGATTATATGAGTCAACATTTTAAATGACAAATTACAAGACTGTCCACTCCACTATGTACACTGTGTGTTGGTAATGCATGTGTACAGGTTGTGTGCTGAAGGCTTCTTAGCCTATCAGAACATATCAGAATGGATGCATTCATGAAGGGTTTTTGTTTTGGGCTGATGTTTTTGAAGTTACTTGGAGATGTAAAATTTCCCAGATGATCAAGTATTTACCTATCTGCCTTTGCTGTCACCTTAAAGTCAATGAAGCCCATGTCTATCAAAGTTTCTAACGCCTTGTAAAGACAAGATTGGAATTAAAAATGACACTCAATTATAGATGCTCTTTTTTCTATCTCTATGAAGAAATAATAATGTGAACCATCAATTCTAACCATGTTTATAAACTGTTTTTTCTTCTCTAGCTAGTATTATTCACCTGAATGGCACAAGGGTCATTGCAGGAACATTAACTCACATCTGTCACTACAAACCCCCTTTGACTCAAGCAAACCTCAGTGGATTGGAGAAGGTACAAATGACTTACTAAACTATCTGATATTTATTTCAAACAACATGATCACACACTGTAATGATGGTCCAACTATTTTATTTTTTTTTTTGCATAATTAAAAGTCCATACTAAAATATATATATATATATATCTTCTGTATCACCTACAGGAATGGTTTTCTTTTTTAGTTGGCGTCAATTATGGTTCCTACCATGTCACCGTTTATAATGAGCCTTTACCTCCAGATGGAAGTAGCCCCACAATACTATCAAAGCCTTTTTCGGTACCTCGTCAAACAAACAAGTAAGCAAATCCTTTCAAGAATGTATATCAGCAACTTTAACTGATATACTGAAGAATAAACGAAACAAAAAGAATGTTTTTTTTTTTAAACTTAACGTGCCACTAATTCGTTAGATAAAATACTAAGAAAGAAATGCTGTGTCTGTAATTTTGCAAACAAAAACAAAATAATTACCATATTAAAAATCAAAACCTGACATACCATGAATGTTTGAACCGTTCTCTCTTTTTGCAGCAACTGTTACACCAAGTACTACAAAGGCAACTTTGGGTAAGCAAATCAAGTGTCAAGCTCAGCAAAAGTTAAATCTTTTGGAAAAAACATTCTCATTTTAAATGACCAATAATCCTTACAGCCAAGAAGACCCCATTTCTATACCTAGCTGACAACACAGCATATTAAATACACATTTCATGTAAAATTTTAAACTTTACTCTATTAGGGTAAATAATAGCTAGGTATTTTGCAACATATAAATAATACCTCTACGTTGGATAAGCATTTTATTTATAGCAGTGTTTACTACACTGCTATAAATACCACAGCCCTCTCTGTGGTTTCCCTGCTTTTACACACCTTCCTTTTCTTCTTATCCTTCTCGTTCATCTCATTCATCTTGTTCTTCTTGTACTACTTATTGGCTGGTGCATCACAGCCACTATTTGGAGTGTGGATCAGGAAACATCTAAAGCGTGCTGGGCAGGTGCCTTGACAGTCAGTGTTAGGAAACACTGATTTTATCGTTTAGAAATCTGGAGAATGTTTATTGCTTTTTGTTTTCTGTTGCAGAGTCTATGCCAACAACACCGAATAATGAAGTAAGAAAAATTTATTGTATAACTATCAGTACAATTCAAATATGTGTTTGTTTTTTTATTTGCTTGGCAAACATCACTAATCTTTCAAACATGTCTTTGAAAATGACCATCAGAAAAAGATATCCTTCAATAGTTTGCCAATCACACCAGACTGTTATAGCAACTTAACCGACTGAAAATCAGTTTTCTGTGTCTTGTTTTGACTGGAAACCAGAATTTTGGCGATGTTTTAAGATGATAGTAGGCTCAGTATCAAGCATTATGCAGTTATTAAAAGTTAGGTCTGAGTTCAAGACAACATAAATTCTTCTTGCATAATTTTTTTGCATTTTAGGGGGAAATAATAAAATTAAAAAAAAACAATGACTGATGATTTTTGTTCATCCACATTTATAATTACCAATACAAGGTTGTTTACCTTTGCTGAATGTGACCTGAACTGGTTTAGCACAATAGACAATCCCAAGAACAATTTTTCGAATCTATCAATTGGTATGAACTACATCAAATGCATAATTGAGATCAAATAACACTATCGCAAATGTTTCAATCCCAGCTATGTGGACACTTCACTTGTTCTAGTGTTTGTCATGCCACACTGTCTCAATTATTAAATATATTTTTCTTCTTTTGCAGTACGAAAAGAAGAAGTTAAGAACATCAACATAATCGCTTTTGGAATTGTGGCCTTGTTGATAATTTTGATTTCCTGCTTTGTTATCTGTAAGTAAAATGTATATTTATACCTAATCTGAGCTTGGATTAAACCACTGAAAGTAATAAACAGCTATCGATGTTGAACGTCGTCATCCCAGTTTGCAAACATGCTCTTCCCTTGAAGAAGGTTTAGATTTCTCAGTATCTTTAAAACTCTAAAACACTTTCCACCTAAAATACATTTGTCTTTCTGCAGCCTTTTTCAGCAGACTTGCTTTACTTGGCTCACCGTGAAAGCATACCTTAGCCCCTTGGATTTAAAATTTTATAAAGTACTGATTAATGACATGCATCAGCACCAAATGTGTGCTTTGTCTACATCAGTGCTCTAAGTAAATGCCTCTTTTTGTGGGTCTCCAGATAAGATGTTTTCGTCGTACTCTGCGTTTGAAATCCTTCCCGAGGCCCCCATGACTCCAGTATCGGTGGTTGTGGTGTATCCTTCGGTGACGCCGGCCTTTCAGCGGGCGGTTGTGGCGCTGGCTGAGTTTCTGCAGTGGCACGGTGGCTGCAGGGTGGCGATTGATATGTGGCAGCAGGGACAAATTGCAGAACTCGGACCGCTGCGCTGGTTAGCGGAACAAGTAAAGCTTGCGGACCGTGTCCTGATCATCTCCCCTAAGGTGGAAACTCTTTTGTGTTTCTCTTTTCATTCCTTGACTCTATGTGTGTGTTTGTACTAAATGTTTTTTTATGTCCTTGTAGCCCTCTTCTATGCCGGGACCCTGCACCCCCACCAGTAACCTCCTAAGACATCCCATCCCAGCTGCAACTGGTGACCTTTACCCTCTGATTCTCAACATGGTGGCCAGTCACGCCAGGAGTGCCACTGAGCTGGCCAAGTTCTGGGTGGTGCAGCTGCATGCAGATAAAGACAAATGCTTGTGTGCCGCTGCCAGAGCTGCAGATGTGCAGGGCTTTCTGTCTGATGAAAGATTTGAACAGACTCTACAAGAGCCTTCATTCCCAGAGGAAGGTTAGGAAGAAGATATCATCGCTGTTGTTCAAGCATAAGATTTTGTACAGCCAAAACAGCACAACAAAATTGAGGGAAGCTGTAGAAATGCTCAGTGCAAAGAAGGCTGATATATCTGACAGGACCCTAAATAAAGATCTTTGTTGAAAGGGTTAATATGAATCCAGATAAATATAGGATTCATATTGAATTTTGTCTGTCTGTGTTACTGTTTTTCTATCTTTTCTAACACATCAACCTCCTAGTTAGCATTCATTCAATGTTTGAATAGCATTATTTTATAAAATCACATAGGTTAATTTCCAAAAGAATGTACTATGAACATGACCTTCAGGTACATTGCTGTCATTGTTATTGTAACAAATATATCCTTGACGTTTACTTAATAACTTGTATAAAGTAATGTATTTTAGGAGCTGTTCGTTGTCAGTTATTTTTCTCAAAGTTATATTTTGTAAAATTCTTAGCAGACCTTTCTACGTATCTAGACTGTGTTTTATTGGGACTTGTGATGGGCAACACCAAGTGATACATAATTTTGGAGCAGAAGAGGAATTGCATGTTTGTCAAACATTTTACAAATAAAGCATTGAAAAGAGAGTTCTGTATCAGTATTTAACTTTGCTTTGATGCCTCTATATAAAATCTGGTGCAACCGATTGCATTTAGAAGACTCGTATCCCAGTAAAAACAGGTTCCCAGTGACGTAATTTCAGTTTAGAATTAGCTTGTTTTAATGACCTCTAAGGTTTGTTAAGAGAATGTTCTCCCTGTGCATGCGTGGGTTCTCTCCGGGTTCTCCCACAGTCCAAAAAAACACGACTGTCAGGTAAATTGGTCTCTCTACTTAAGTGTATTGCATTTATTTATGTTGTTCTTTAGCACTGATTATGTTTTTCAGGCTATGATTGCCGAGACAAAAAGTCACAGACATATTATTCTATGAGAAAGTAGTAAGAAATAGCTTTGTTGCATTTATTTAAATAGAAAATCAAATAATTTTGCTAAAACTGTAAACCAGAGGAACTTCCGGTTGGACTCAAGACGGAGCAGACGCTTTTCCGAAGCTCCCACCTCGAACATTAATACTCTGTTTTTCATTTCGTGTTTGTTAATCCAATAGTAACCAGTATATGCATATATTCTACAACATCAACACAACCAAAAATTATAAAAACATTAAAAATTAAAACTAGTATTTGTTATGAGGGGGAAAAAACTTGCTCATGATGTCTCCAGTTCTTAATCCAAAGCTTTGATGTTTGGTCACGCTTTTTGGGGGGTTAAAAGAAGTCCACAAACTAAAGTTACATGTTTGTTTACTCTAAATTCAGGTGTGCAGAATTTTAAGGGATTTCATATCTGGACTTCGAATGTCCTTGACTGAAACCTCACACTCTTTGAGCAAATCCGTCAAACCTACGATTTTAAATCGGCGAGTGTGTGGACTCTCACGTTTTGAGAATCATCCAACGATCGGCCGTCTATTCTGAAATTGTGTAAATGTGAACTGGGCTTTACTATTTGCTACTGAGCATGCTCATTACCACTAGCAACAGTTGCCATGGTGCAGGCACCAAGGCTTCTATGTGAAGTGAATTAATCTTTTTTTTTTTTAAGTGGAATTAATCAATCATTGGTGAGTCAGACTCTGTGACATCACCAGGTCTAAACTCTTAGAATAGAGTAGAATTTACCTTATGATCAGCTGCAAACTGCTTGCAATCTTTCAACACAGAATCCATTATCGGAGTTCAAGTCAGAGACACAGACATGACTAAGTTAACCTGGATTGAAAAATTGGCTGAATCTTGCGAACAGATCAGTAAAAAAATTGAAAAACGCTACAGTAAAAAACGACTGTGGAGCCCTGATTATTCAAAGAAGAGAATTGTCAGTGACATTCTTTGGAAGGTGATTGAGAAGGTTGCAGACATACCAACTCGGCATCTTATTAGAGAAACGTTTGAGGAGGCCCACTGTCAGCTACTTCGCCAAATTGTAAGAGAAACTGGGAAACTCGAGCTGTCCTTTGTGATGGAAATGTCAGACAAGCTAAGCGAAAGGATTTTCCAAGGCATCGCCAGCGATTCTTTCCATATTGCTAGCGAGTTGCATTTGTTCACAATACTTTTCTACCCAGTTGCGTATCCGAGGATAGTAGAAGAATTCAAGTATCACCTGGAGAATCCCATTCTTCCTGAGCCTACAAAAATGGATAGATTTTTCTCATCTGTAAGAACAACGCTCAAAAATGCTTTGTTTGACACTGAGAGCTTGTATTCTAATGAAAACTGTCTGTCCGACAGTCAAGTTATTGCTGCCGAAAGGAGAAAATCATTGATAGGGAACATAGAAGTAATCAAACATGGAACTGAAGAGGAACGTCGTAAAATGGTGTATGAAGTTGTGTGGAAACTGATTTGTAGGGCAAGTTACGCATCTGTCACCCCATACAAAGTTAAAGACACTGTACCAGTCTTCAAAAGGCTTTCTGGGATCGTGAGGGAAGAACTAAGAGACGTAGAGTTTCCAATTTTCAGCAATATGGACAAAAAACTCAGCAAAGACATCTTCCAACTTCTAACTGGAAATGAGGATGTGGTAAGGGATAGACTTTTCTATCTCATGGAAATGGGCCACCCCAATTTCAGATTACAAGATTCTATGTTGTTTCAAAAGAGTCTTTTCACATCCTAGAAAAGTGCATTTCCCTCTGACAACTGCTTGGAAAAACACCAAATCTGTCTGTAATTTTTTCTGTCGCAGCATTAAAGTTCATCCAATCCAAGAGACTCTGGAGACAGAAAATAGTGAGGATAAAGAAAAAGACGCAATTGAATCCCCAGCTTCTCACAGACAGTCTATGGACTTAGAGGGTTCAGAGTCCCTTCAACAGTCATTAAACGTAGGGGGTTCAGATTCCCTTCAACAGTCTTCAGACGTAGGGGGTTCAGAAGATTTAGGGGGATCAGAGTCCCTTCAACAGTCATTAGACGTAGGGGGTGACATAGGGGGATCAGATTCCCTTCAACAGTCTTCAGACGTAGGGGGTTCAGAAGATGTAGGGGGTTCAGATTCCCTTCAACAGTCTTCAGACGTAGGGGGTTCAGATTCCCTTCAACAGTCTTCAGACGTAGGGGGTTCAGAAGATGTAGGGGGTTCAGATTCCCTTCAACAGTCTTCAGACGTAGGGGTTCAGATTCCCTTCAACAGTCTTCAGATGTGGGGGGTTCCAACCTCCTTTGACAGTTTTTAGACATGTGGGTCAGATTGTTGTGGAATATCTTATTTTCCATTGTTTTTTTTATCACTTCGAGGTTAGCAAAAATATACAATTCATTGCTTTATTATTATATCTATATACATACACCAAAATGTTCTTATTTCTATCAATGTCCACTATTAGCTTCCCAGTGGCCATTTGTATCACTGATAGAGTTTCAGGTTCTGATTCCCCACTATGTTTCTCAGCTGGCCTGGGAACGCCTTGGGATTCCGCCGGAGGAGCTGGAAGAAGTGACTGGTGAGAGGGAAGGGCCTCCCTTCTGAAGCTGCTACCCCCAAGACCCGACCCCGGATAAGCGGCAGACAATGGATGGATGGATAGACTTTTGTATTTTGTATTCTGTTAAAAAATTGTTTTAAGGATGCAGTTGAAAAATCCATCTGTCCGTCCGTCCATCCCATCCATCCATCCATCTTCCGCTTATCTGGAGTCGGGTCGCGGGGGTAGCTGCTTCAGAAGGGAGGTCCAGACTTCCTCTCCCCAGCCAATTCTTCCAGCTCTTTCGAGTGAACCCAAGGCATTCCCAGGCCAGCCGAGAGACATAGTCCTTCTAGCGTGTCCTGGGTCTTCCCAAGGGCCTCCTCCCGGTAGGACATGCGGGGAACACATCATCAGGAGGCGTTCAGGAGGCATCCTGACCAGATGTCCGAGTCTCCTCAACTGGCTCCTCTAGATGTAGAGGGCAGCGGAGTACTCTGAGTCCCTCCCAGAATACTGAGCTTCTCACCCTATTTCTAAGGGAGAGCCCAGACACCCTTCGGCTGCTTGTATCTGAGATCTCGTTCTTTCGGTCATGACCCAAAGCTCATGACCATAGATGAGGGTAGGAATGTAGATTGGCCGGTAAATCAAGAGTTTGCTTTTTGACTCAGCTCTCTCTTACCACGATGGACCGGTACAGTGCCTGCTTCACAGCAGACGCTGTGCCAATCCGCCTGTCGAACTCCCGTTCCCTTCTTCCCTCATTCGTGAACAAGATCCTGAGATACTTGAACTCCTCCATTTGAGGCAGGACACCCTCCTAGACCCGGAGAAGGCACTCTACTCTTTTCTGTCTCAAGACCATGGCCTCAGATTTGGAGGCACTGGTCCTCATCCCAGCCGCTTCCCACTCGGCTGGGATGCAGATCGTGTCCTGATGAAGCCAATAGGACCACGTCAACCGCAAAAAGCAGAGATACAATCCTAAGGCCACCAAAATGGATCCCCTCCACACCTCGGCTGCGCCTAGAAATTCTGTCCATGAAAGAAATGAACAGAATCGGTGACAAAGGGCAGCCCTGGCGGGGTCCAACTCTCACCGGAAACGAGCCTGACTAATTTCCAGCAATGCAGACTAGACTTTGATACCGGTCATACAGGGGACCTGACAGCCCGTATCAATGGGCCCGTACTCCCCATACTCCCGGAGAACCCCCCACAGAGCTCCCGAGGAAAACGGTTGAACGCCTTCTCCAAGTCCACAAAACACATGTGGACCGGTTGGGCAAACTCCCATGTATCCTCCAGGAGCCTGCTGAGTGTGTAGAGTTGGTTCAGTGTTCCATGGCCAGGACGAAAAGCACACTGTTATTCTTGAATCTGAGGATCGATTCAGGAAGGCAGCATGACTTTGGACCCTCCTCTCCAGGAACCCCGAATATACCTTGCCAGAGAAGCTTAAGAGTGTGACCCCCTATAATTGGAGCACACCCTCTGGGTCCGGGTCCTCCCACTATAAACAGTGTTGGTGCTGCACTGCTTCCCCCTCCTGAGATGCTGGATGGTGGACCAAAATTGCCTCAAGCCATGTGGCAGTCTTTTTCTATGGCCTCTCCAAACTCCTCCAACACCTGAGTTTTTCCTCAGTAACCACACAAGCTGCATGCCACTTCACCCACCAGTACCCATCAGCTGCTTCCAGAGTCCCAAAGGCCAAAAAGGCCTGATAGAACTTCTTCAGCCTCACGGCATCCTTCTCCGAAGGTGTCCACTAACAGGTTTGAGGGTTGCCGCCGCGATAGGCACCGACAACCTTGTGGCCACAACTCTGGTGAGCTGCCTCGACAATGGAGTCGCGAAACATGGTCCACTCGGACTCAATGTCCCATACCACCTCCGGAATGTGTTCGAAGCTCTGCCGGAGGTGGGAGTTAAAGCTCCGTCTCACAGGGGATTCTGCCAGATGTTCCCAGTAGACCCTCACAACGTGTTTGGGCCTGCCAGGTCTGACCGGCATTCTCCCCCACCACTGGAGCCAACTCACCACCAGACAGTGGTTGATGGACAGCTCCGCACCTCTCTTTACCCAAGTGTCCAAGTCATATGGCCGCAAATCAGATGAAACGATGACAAAGTCGATCATCAAACTGTGGCAAGCAGAGAGACATAGTCCTTCTAGCGTGTCCTGGGTCTTCCTGAGGGCCTCCTCCTGGTGGGAAGAGCCCGGAACGCCTCTTAAGGGAGGCGTCCAGGAGGCATCCTGACCAGATGCCCAAGCCACCTCAGCTGGCTCCTCTCGACTTGAAGGAGCAGCGGCTCTGAGTTCTTCCCGGATGACTGAGCTTCTCACCCGATCTCTAAGAGAGCCCAGCCACGGAGAAAACCCATTTCGGCGCTTGTATCCGAGATCTCGTTCTTTCGGTCATGACCCAAAGCTCATGACCATAAATGAGGGTGGGAACGTAGATCAACCGGTAAATCGAGAGCTTCGCTTTTTGACTCAGCTCTCTCTTCACCACGATGGACTGTCTCATTTTTACTTTCCAAATTTAAAGCTGAGAGAATTACAGGAAGGCTCCAGAAATTGGTAATCAGTGTAAAATCGGTGGTATTGCATCACTTTGCAGAACTGTCATCGCAATCAACGCTTTCTACCAGTTGATGGCGATAATGCAACTCTGTGACTCCTAAAACTACCCGCGAAGAAGGGTCACGTGATAAAACACGGAAGTAAAACCTTCACTGACCGAAGCAAGACTGGAAATTTGTTGTTACATTTTGAGTTGCTTTGTGAAACTACAATTTATCTTTTTCCTGATGTGTTTTTTGACTGTAAAACGTGACCATGACGCAGGCCGAGAAAGAGCAGGACAACGGGAAGGAGAAGGAAAAGGAGCGAGACAAGGAGAAAGAGAAGGAGCAGCAGCGCGGAGTGAAGAGACCCATCGCTCCTGCAGCGATCCCTGAACCTGCCCAGGAAGTATTCAGCCTTTTATTTATTTACTTTTCATTTGGAAAACAATTTATTTTTACAAGGTATAATGCAATAGCTGTCTTTATTTATTTTCTTCTGGTTTTGGGTTGTGTGTAAAAGCTTAGTTTAAGAATAAAATAAAATTAAAATAAATGTGAAGTTGTGTTTTGACATCTGATTTAAATGTAGATATCTTCAGAACTACGTCCTGAAGAAAGTTTTCATCCAAATAAATTAATGTTTCCTTTAAAAGGTAAATAGTGTTTTTAAAACTTAAAACTGCACCACTGTGCACAGTGGTGCAGTTGGTAGCACTGTTGCCTTAAAGCAAGAAGGTCCTGGGTTCAATTCTTGGCCCGGGGTCTTTCTGCATGGAGTTTGCATGTTCTCCCTTTGCATGCATGGGTTCTCTCCGGGTACTCTGGCTTCCTCCCACAGTCCAAAAGGATGACTGCTAGGTTAATTGGTCTTTCAAAATTCTCCCTAGGTGTGAGTGTGCGCGCGCTTGGTTGTTTGTTTCTGTGTTGCCCTGCGATAGATTGGCGACCTGTCCAGAGTGAACCCCTCCACAGATAATGGATGGAAGTAAAACTTAAAATAAATTCCCTGAACACTTATAATCTTTTATTCATGAGTGGCTAATAAAATCATATTTAATGCTGAGCTAATAAGATTTTGTGTGCACAACCATTCATTGTTTATATTTTACATTAAAATGCATTACCTTTGTGTCTCATAGCAAATACAGAGCAATTTTGTCATCGTAATCCACCTGGATCAAGAACGCTTCGCATTGGCCGAGCCACAGACACCCTTCCTGTCATTATCCCTCATGTAATTGCGCGGCGGCATAAGCAGGGTGGACAGGCGAGGTATGAAGATGCTTGGCTGCTGAGAGAGGGTCTGAATGTAAGTCACTGTTGGACGGGTTTGAGTCTAACACACAACCGTCGTACCTGGCTGTTTTGATATGATTGATTTGTCTTCATGGCTTACAGAAGGCAGAGAGCAGCGAGCAGAGGCAGAATGGACTGAAAATGGTGGACCAGGCCATCTGGTCCAAGAAGATGTCCAACGGTGTGAGAAGGACTCCTGTGTCTGCTGAACAGGTTTGTTTACAAAAGGGACAACCGGTGCGGAAATTGTAGAAGTTTTGAAATGGCTATTGATGCCGTAGCAACTCGGTTGGTGTTATTATGTGGTGTTTGTGGAGGCAGTCACTTGATTCAACTTCCTGCTTGTGTTTTCAGGCCAGGGCTTATAACTGTCAGATCCGTCCAGCAGTTCTAGACAGCAGTTCAAGAGTGAAGTGGACAAACACAAGCCACCATCCCAATTATCTGGTGGGAGAGGAGGTAAAACACAAAACTATAAACAATGTCTGTATAATGTTTGATAAATTCTGTGTGGTTCATTTATTGTTCACCCATCTTGATCATGTCTTGTTACAGGCTCTGCATGTGAATCCATCAGACTGTTACAACCTCCACTGGCCTGTGGTCAGAGGTCAGCTCAATGTGCATTCTGGCTCTGGAGGGTCTCTGACCGCAGTGCTGGCCGATCTCGAGACGCTGTGGAGTTACGTCATTCAGAAGCATCTGGAGATTCCCCTAAAAGAGCTAAAGGTAAAGTCTCGTTTCAGCTTTTTATGCCTTTCTTCTTTGCATTCTTTTCAAACTAGAAAAGTACAAGAAAATTTGATAAGGAAAGGTTTCTATTGATGGAATGTCCACCATTTTTGCTGTAATTCTGCAACCAGCTTTAGCTTCAATAAAACTTCAAAAATGGGATGAAAAACTTCCTTTTGCTACATCAACATTTGATTTTGTGTTTTTATTTGTTCATGACTTGTAGTATTACAGATGCATCCTGTTGGTCCCCGACATCTACAACAGACAGCATGTAAAGGAATTGTCAACATGTTGCTACATAACATGGGTTTTTCAGGTATTGGGCATTTACTGTTGCAAATGTCTTCACACTCCTTAATACTTTTCACATTGACACGTTGCAATCACACACTCTGTTGTATTGTTGGAATTTGGGTGGTCTACTAATACAAAGCAAGAAGACAGGGAAAACTGTTGTTTTTCTAAATTTAAAACTGGGGCAAAATAGACACATGTTAATAAACTGTTCATTGCTTCATGGTTTCTGCCTTATGGAGTGAAAATATGTGTAATTTGCAGCCATCATTGTGCACCAGGAGTCAGTGTGTGCTACATTCGGCAGCGGGTTGAGCAGTGCTTGTGTCGTGGATGTGGGCGATCAGAAGACCAGCATCTGCTGTGTTGAGGATGGAGTGTCCCATCGAAACTCAAGGTGGGGAAGTGCTGCAAATCACACACACTTATAAACAACAGAAAATAGTTGATTTCTTGCATTTTGTGTGTGTTTGCTCGCTCCTCCACTCTGCAGGCTCTGTTTGGCCTATGGTGGTTCAGACGTGACCCGCACTTTCTTCTGGCTCCTGCAGAGGGCAGGGTTTCCCTACAGAGACTGCCAGCTGACCAGCAGGCTGGACTGTCAGCTCTTGCAGCATCTAAAGGAGACATTCTGTCATCTGGATCAGGTCTGTGTTAGTTGAGAAGAGAATTTATGAGTAATTAAAAATTTGAGGGAAACAGTTTCTTCTTCCAGGGTTGCTTTTTAAATTGGTACTATCTGCAATCTTTGTCTCTTTGTAACAGGACATATCAGGGTTACAAGATCATGAATTTCAGACACGATTCCCAGAAGCCCGGCTCTTTTATACCAAATTCGACTCGGGGATGAAAAATTACAGGTACAGGTTTAAAACAGTTATAAGAAGTTGATGAATGAGTCTGTAATTTTGCCATAAAAAACATGTCTGTGTCCCCTGCAGGCGCCAATGGGTCTGTTCTACCCAAGCACATTCGGCATCGTTGGTCAGAAAATGACATCACTACAGCACCGTTCCCAAGGCAACTCAGAAGATCCCCATGATGAACACTACCTGCTCTCCACACAGAGCAAAGGGGACCAGGTAACTCACATTACCACACTTATTGAAATTACATGCGTTCATATAAATAATTGCTGGTTCTCTTGTGTTGTTTATTGCATGATTTTATTTTTTCCCTCCCAAACAGTCCTCTAAATCTGCAGCTGAGCGTAAGGCCGTTTCCAGGCCAGGCGGAGGTTTGGATGGTGAACTGAGCTGCCAGGGGAGGATGGGGAGATGTCCGACATGCCCAGAGGCTGTGGGAGCGGGAGTGCAGCAGGAGGAGGAATGCTTGGAGAAATGGAGCTGGGGCCAAGCCAGGGCGAGTGTCTGATGGCTCCAGGAGAGGCGGAAGAGCCGCTGTCCGCTCACCTGTCCAGGAAGACGGCCATCATTAGCCAGTTCGAGAGCAAGGCTTTGGGCCTGGACAAGGCTATCCTGCATAGCATCGACTGTTGTGGTAAGAAAGTGCTGGGAGGAGTGAAATAAAACGCATGACATGTTTTAGTAGACAGATTGAGTAATAAGGGAGTAGGACGAGATCACAAAACATAAATAAGTGATGTAGGGAAATCATTTAAAGCATCTTGAAAAACAATATATAAAAGTATATCCCAGAGGAAATTTGAGCTTTTTTTTGTGTCTGAAGCGTCGGATGAAACCAAACGGAAGATGTACAGCTCCATCCTGGTGGTGGGAGGGGGGCTCATGTTTCACGGAGCTCAGGAATTCCTGCTTCATCGCATCATCAACAAGATGCCGCCATCCTTCAGAAGGCTGGTCGATAACGTGGAAGTCATCACACGACCTAAAGTAATAACTTCCACATGTATTTTTTATTTTACGCTAAAATTTCCATTGTAGTGCTTATCAAACCATGATTCACTGATAAATTCAGTCATAATTATAGATTATTCTAAACTTATTCAAATTCCACATCTACTTTAAGTTACTGCTTAAAATTTTAATAGATAATGGTACAAAAACTGACTTTTGTTTTTCCTTAACGCTTTACAAACTTTACAAAGTGCTGCGTCTCCTACTAACAGAAATATGCAACATGTTTCATGACTTATTATATATTCTGGTGTGTTTGTGTCGAAGGACATGGACCCCAGGCTGATTTCATGGAAGGGCGGAGCAGTGCTTGCGTGCCTGGACACCACGCAGGAGATGTGGATTCACCAGAGAGAGTGGCAGCGCTTCGGTGTCAGAATGCTCCGAGAAAGAGCTGCATTCGTCTGGTGAAACCCAACTGAGGTCCTGAAGCTAAAACGCACCACTTATACATCAGAGGGCAGACAAGGAAAGGGACAAATTGCATATCATTTGGTATGTATAGTTGTTCTGATTGACGTTTGTAACCCAGGATGCATTTTATAGTTTTCTGTTTATAAGATGTCTTCTATAGAATTTTAATTGTTCTGTAAAGATTCCTGTTTTCACATTTTCATGCAGGAAGTGTAAATAAACTCGTCTCATTTGAAGAAAAATAATAACTGCATTTGGAAGAAAATCATTTCTTAATTCACCTCATCTGGGCAAAAATGTTTTAACTCTTGGTGTCCACATGACAACACGTAACTGTTTTTATTTAATTTATTTATTTTTCCACTCACAAAATAACTACACTGTAAAATCTTAACCAAAACATAGAAAACAATCGTCCCTGCTTCATACAGTTTTCAATTTGTGTGTGTTTGTCTCAGCATAGGTCATTTATTTAAACACAAAATTAAAGAAGGAAACTAAATGATGATGATTCCAGAGGATGAGCAGAACCTAAATGAGTAAGACATTGATGTGACCTGGAAGGACAGAAGCAGAGGAAAAACATAAACAGGGAGGAGGGATGCAGACAGCTGCTGAATCGACCAATCCGGCTCCTATGTGTAGGTATTCCCAGAAAGGCGTCAAGAAACTGCTAGCAGCAGTGGCAGCTGATGAAGAAGGACTTCAGCACGGTGCCGTTTCCGTCTGCGTGCTCTCAGTGGTCAGACACTGTGCTTGGCCCCACGCCCACACTGTATGTGCAGGCGTTTACCTAAAGTGAAGAAATGTACAGGAACGACGTTATTTATATTCCTTAAAATGTCACGTAGGTTTTTTTGGAGATGGACATTAAACTCCATCAGGCTAAAAGCAACTTATTTCTGCAGTGGCTACCAGAACTTAATGAATAAGCAAAGAAAGCAACAAACTCCATGAATTAATGTACAAATTAACCATAAGTTGTCTTGAGTTTTATTAAGGAAAAACTATTGCTCACCTTCCTCATCCTCCTCCACCCATTGGTGGAGGGTTGGGACCCGCTCCGTGAGTTATTCGACCCATCCGCCTTCTGCCACCAGGAGGACCTGGAGGTCTGCAGAATCAAGTACATGTCACCACAGAGATCAAAAATCCATGGGTGTAAAAGTGATCAACACATCTCTGCATGTATATAGTAAATTAATGAGGTTTCAAAGCATTTGAAATGAAAAAGTAATAACTGGCTTAATAAATGTTGGCAATCCCCTCCCTTGTGGCACAGCTTTCTCAGTTTCCATGCCTCAGTGGTGAGATGACAGTACAACTGGGACTTACCCTCTGCCATCGCTGAAGCGTGATGAAGCCACGTTTCCATTCCTTGACAAGTCAGGGTGAAGTATTGTCCTAAAAACTGGTAGAAAACAAAAGGTCAGAACAGACTATATGAAATAATGAGAGTTGCTTATAACACAATACTTGTGTGAGAATGATTTTGATTTTGTTATCTGTATATGCCTCATTAGGACAACACAGCACCAAGTTGGCTAGATTTCATCTTTACTTTTACAGGGGCTTCCCCACAAAATATAAAAAGTTAATTTATGTACATAACAGACCAGATTAAACTCAAAAAGTATTTGCCTGCAATAAACGCATAATGATGCCTTTCAAGCACTTTCATAGCTATGACTCGCATCTAAAGAAAAAAAAAACACTAGTGAAAATGGGTTCTGGACATACAATCAAATAAAAAAATTATTGCTAACAGAAATGCCAAGTGCAGAAAAAAAGTTCTGGTAATGACACTTTTTTTCCTTCCACCAAATTTTCTTTGTATATCCCTGAATACAGCACTCAAAAAACTTTGGAAATGACCTTTTGCTGCTTGTCCCTGCCGTTTCAAGATACATAGCATTTGGTGTTTTCAAAATGTTACATTTTTCTGAGAAACAGAATCTTAGGTTTTATTAGCTGTAAGCAATAATCGTACAAATCAACAGCAATAAACGCCTGCTGAATATCCCTCTATGGTAACGACTGCATAATATCAAAACTCACAAGAGGCTGATGAACTCCACAGCCCCCAGAACATGTCAGTCAGGAACGACAGGCTCCATGGGGACTGAGACCTGCTGTCCAGGACCTGGCCTGAATGTGACACAAAGAGGGAAGTATGAAACATTAGGTTACAAAAACAGTTTAATATTACTGCTAATCGAAAACAGAAAATGTTCAGTTCTCTCTTATCTGCTCATTAACTCGATTTCTCTTAAAGTGTTTTCTACATAAAATCCACTTGGAGTACGACAGACTCAAAATCACAGCACGTCTTTTAATTTGTGTTATTTCGAGGTACGTTATGCGACGGTGATGTAAAATATACAAACATATTGTCAGTTGACAGCTGCTAAGCTAACTCAGCCTGGCTAAGCTAACGAACTAAACAGCTAATGGTAGCTAATGGTCCCAAAACAAACCACTACGTAACCTTCAAAATGTCTGCATACATTTAGATTCAATACAAAGCTGCACATATCTTTCTATTTTAACAAAAGAGTGGTGAAGAAAGTACAATCCACTCACCGTTGGACACGTACACCATCTTTCAGAAGGCAAAACAGCCTCACAGCTGTTTACAGTTAGCCTGTGCTTCCGGGTCTGTGTGTGGGGGTCTGCTCCTTTCTGTTCAACGTCGCATTAGGCGGTTGGAAAACCTTCGCCAGCGGCAAGGGAGGAGCTTATGTAGAACAAAAAGTGTTCTCCATCTTATCACACGATTTTACTTAAATAAGAAGCTCTGTAGTATGCGCTCTCTTGAAGAATTTGCTCAAGGTTGTATGTTATACTCTTGATTTATTATTTTCATATTCTTGTACCATAATCTCCATAGTAGTTCCAAAACAGGGCCAGCTTTCTTCAACCCACTGCTTTGCCCTTTAAGTCCCTGGCTCACTCGCTTGACTAATTGTGACACATTTGGTCAGAACACTTCAGATACATAGTGGCTGCATCAAATGAGCGTTGCTGTGGACAGTGCTATTTTTAAATGTTAAATCTGTCACTTGTACTTTCACATATGCAGACATTCCTAATGCCGAATTAAATTCTAAGTAATTCTCATACACATATTTCCTTCTAGGTTGTAAGTGCAGGCAGTAAAACACACATAGGAACAGAATGAAAAGGCAGACTGTTTTTAGCAGTATAGATTGTCAGAGTTGCTAGAAGTGGGTCTGTCAGGCAATTTTATGTTAATTCTGGAGCATACATATTCAACATACTATATATAATACTTTAAATGAGTGGTGCATGAGAGTGGTGCAGTGGTTATTATGGTAGCACTCACTAATCAACATGAGGGCTGGTCTCCACTCCAGACTGAGGGTGTTTTGGTTTAATCCTCTGTTTTGTGAAAGAGCATTCTGGTGCTTCCTTTCAGCTTTCAGCTTAGGCACCGGGAGAAACATTAAACACAGAGTAAAATTACCGTTTTCAAATGTTTCCTCTTTCATCCAGGAGAGGGCAGCAGATACTGCAAACATGTAGAAATATTTACTGCACCAATTCACTGTTTGATCGTTTTAAAATCATATATTTTCAAGATAATTTTATGTTTTGTCCAAAGTATCCAGCTTTGAAATAAACTAATGAAAATAACAAGCTGTGCTTATATTTTAGATTAACTATGTGACCTCTTAAGATTTCTCTATTAATCTCTTTGGGACAGAATAAGCCTAAAAACACAAACAAACAAACAAACAAAAAAAACAACTCCACATCTTGGATATATGTTTTATCTTTGGTGTGCTTAATGCCAGCCTGACGGCTCAACATTTTAGTGTTTTGATTATCGTCTCAGATTGAGGGATCACTTTCAAAAAATGAGAAGGGTCATGGGGCAAGACAGTAGAGGAGCACTCTTCTCCTTATTTATTAGTATTTTTGTGTCCGGCTTTCTATATGTAACTGACTTTAGGGTAAAATATATTCTTCAGTTGTTTATTTATTCATCATCATTGGCTGAATGAGGCTTCTATGGTTGGTCCTAAATGATTTTTGATTCAAACACAGAACATTTTAAGTAATACACAAAGCAGCAATGCACTGAACCTATCTTAAAGCAAACTACTAAAGTAGAAAGCGTTCATAAAGCTCCACAAGAAGGCATTTAGAATCTCTTTATCTATTAAAACTTTCCTCTGCTCAAGTTTTATTTTGGAAAAAGCTCCAGATTTTATTCAATTTTGTTTTTGTTTAAGGTTAAAAACGATGGATAACGAAGGCAGTAGAAAAATAAATACATAAGTTAATAAAATTATCTGAACTCAGGATCTGGGCCAACCTCCAGACATATGTTGGGTCGGGTCCCACCTCTGGTAAAAGTTTCATGCTAATCTTTCTGTAACCTTTGGTGTATTCTGTTTTTGACAAAAAAAGAAATAACGGTAAGATTTATGCAAAATTTTCCATGCCAATGTTTAGTTCATAGATTTTAAAATAGTTAGACAAGAGCTATTTTCCCAAATAGCATAGTGGTAAAACACAAGCCAACAAGGCTGGATCACATCAACCAAAGGTCATCAAAGGCCACAGATGTTGCTCTGCTTTAAGTAAGCACAGATTGTTTGACCATCACAGTCCAACTCACACATAAAACTACATTCTGCACCAGAAATCCATCTCCACAGAGAAGCATGACCTGCAATTATATATAATTAATCTGGAGACTGAAAAACAAAATCCCAACTAGAGTGTGCTTCTCATTAAGCCCAGATCTGTTCCAAAGCAAACTCTCGTGTCTACAGTTCGGGTTCTGGCATTTTTTGTGGTTCTTCTCCTTATTACCACAGTCACTTATTATAACATTTAATTAAGCTGTAAAATCTATGGGATTTTAGGCCTGCAGTTGCTCCTCTCCATATCGTACAACTGTTGTGGTTTAACTAATGACTCCCACATCTGCAGCAAAGGTTGCACAAACCCAGGAGGGGTGAGGAACAGAGGAGTCCTGGAGAACATCCAGGGTCAGAAAGAAATAAAGGTCATGAAGAACACAAATAAAAATGATCAGTTTATTCTTACATAATTCCTTTTATAGGTATGCTAAGTACTCTGAAGACAAAATAAAAAGGGATCAATTGTGTCCATGGCTTTTATTGCCAATCACATTTAATTTAAATTTTTTACTCTTTATGCTTCTTTTCTACTTTGGCTGGTTTTCAACTTTTTTT